CCATCGTACAGGCCCGTTGATGGCCTTGTTGGATCGTATGCCGCGACTTCAGCTCGTTCTTGTGTATTTGAGGATTGAGTAGTTGCTCTATACCAGGCAGGCGGCCCCTGTCTATAGTGGGAACGATCGGGAGGTTCTCGACCAAGCTCGCGTGCCTTCCTGTCCAGAAGTTCCCTAATCTTTTGTAAAGGATCCCGACGACGCAACGACTCTTCGGGCTCGCGTGTCTGTGGTGGAACACTTGATTGTTGCTGTTGTTGTGATGGGGGCGGAGGAGGTTGTTGTTGCCAAGATTGAGTATTTGATGGTGGGGAAGATGGTGGGTTGCTTTGAGGCGGGCCACTCAACGCATCCATCAATGCCTGATCTATAGGCGGCTCTTCCTTGTTCATCACAGCGTCTACCCTAAGCGCGTCGCTCCTGGATGGTGTCCGACGATGAGTAGAAGCTTCTCGCATTGATGGTGTACTCGGCTCTCGAGCTGGGGGCAGAGACTCCCTGTTCCTAGAGACAGGGACCTCCTGATCATCGTTGAGGATGTCCATGATTCTATGTGTTGATAACCTTGGTGTTGATTTCGCCGGAACTTCAGTTTCTTTCGCCGAAGCCGTGGCGCTAGCTTCAGAAAGAGGGCCACTTTGAGTCAGATCTACTGCAGCTTGGGTGCTCTTAGGAGGACTGCTATGCGCAGCTTGAGACGGCAATCCCAACGGTACCGCTGGCTGTGCGAACTCAGGGGATTTTTCTCGTGCAGGCTCCTGTTTTATGATAGGCGTTGTCGCTCGTGGAGGCGGTGGCGGCTGTTGGCGCGGGTCTGGGTAGTGGTACTGAGGCTTTGGCACGACCGTGGTGCGCGGCTGATGTGCTGATACGTCAGCAAGCATCATGAGCAGAGCGGCATGCTCGTTCGAAATAATTTCGGCCTTGGGTGGTTCTGGTTGTGGTGTTGGCGTCCTTTCAACTTCAACGGCGGCATCAGCGAGACTGGTGATGTTATAATGTGCGATCGCTTCTGTGCGATCTGGTCCGTCAAACTTTGCAAAGCCACCAGCAACGTCGTCGATAGAATCATCAGCCTCTTCATCGTTCTCGACAAAAGCGACACGTGCTGCGGTGAACTGTCGCCGCACGGAATCGTTCTTGAGCTCCTTGTCTGCCTCAACGTAAGCTCTGCTACGTGAGGCAAACTTCGAGCCGATGCGATAATCATCAGCATGAATAGGTTCGTCACTGAAAGTAGGCGGAAGAATGTTGTCTTCATCGTCTGTGGCGTCGGCCTCCTGGCCCTTCATCTCCCGTTCGAGTTGCTTGGCGCGGTAGAATATTTGAAGCATAAAGTCATCTTGTAGCTCTCGAAATCTGTTGACATACTGCTCGCGCTGGATATGCTCCTCAGCAATGCGCACTCGTTCCAATTCTTCGAGGCGATATGTGCGCATAGCATTGACTTGGTCCAGACGAGCGTCGCGGCGTTGGTCCAGCTGGGCCATAACAGCATCGTACTCGGGACATTTTTTGTGGTATCGAGGATCGTCCTCAAGATTCTTCGTCGTGCGATTCGCCAACTCTTCTAGCAAGACCTTCTGAACCTTTGCAAGACTGCGGTAACTCATCTTGAGATTGAGTTGTCGACGCAAATCAGTCTCCACATTGATGTCCGGATGCGGTTGGCGCCGACGACCGGGCAAACGCCTGCCGGACTTTGCAGGGGCATCGCCATTGGTCGGCAGAACGTTCTGAAGGCTTTGATGGCCGTCAACATCTGGAACCTGCTCAGGTGAATTGGGTGCTGTGCTAGCATCTGTTAATTCAGGAGGTTGGTCGGCGGCGGTGTCTGCTGCTGTTTCTTTTGTTTTGCGCTTTTTGCGCGGTTGTTGTTCGGAGACATCGCTTTGGTTTCGGGTTAGAACTCCGTTTGGACGTGTTTTGCTGGACTGTGTTGAGTCGTCTGATGCGCGTCTCTTCTTGCCAGCCGCTTTTGGTGCCGTTGAAGTCGCATCAGATGAGGGCTTCTGTGGCTCTGGAGTTTGCGTGCCATTCATGGGTGTGTTGTTGTCGTAAGAGCCATTAGATCTCTGCTGCGAACCAGAATCGGACGATGTTCGGCTGCGCTTGGCTGGTCGCGCATCCTCATGGTCGGGAGTTGCATCCTCGTTTTGCGCAATCTCATTCAGAGAACTGCGACGACTGCCAGAGCTTGCGCTAGATGGCCCAGCCGAGCTCGTGTGGTTAGACGTGCCTTTTGCACCGCGACGCGTTGTCATTTGGAACGGTACTGAAGGAGCAAGGCGAGATGTCTTCGAACCCTGAAGACTACTTCGCTTATTAGACAATGCGCTAGCGGCTATGCCAAGGTTAGCATAACCCTTTAGGGAGCATACAAAAGCAGTCGTAGGCTTGCGGACTTACGCGGCGTCTTGAGAGGGGTGTTGGAAATGGCCTTTGTGCCTTTGAACTTTCGTTTCGGCGGCATGTTGTTGGGTGAGACCCGTAGGTAGAGACCTGACAAGCCAGCCATTAGCTTAGAATCATGACATGACGGAGGGCAGCAAAAGCTGGAGCTAGCTTTCGAGTAGAGCACTCCGTACTTACAGACCCAAGATGTGATGTCCAGTCAGTATTTGATGTTGTCACTCCCTGGTGTGGTAGGTAGAGCGATGATTGAGCTGTCAGCAAGACGTGTCAGCACACAGTCGAAGTAGTATCGGGAACAGACAACGCCCGAATAACTCCATCGCGTTTTGTGCTAGTTTAGTCGTAGACTTGTGGTATTCGTGCTGTAGTTTTGCGCGAGCTGAGTGGCGGATGTGAAGTACTTACTATGACAAGTCGCCTCAGTGAGTACAGTGACTTGCTTGACAATGTGACGCAAAGTCTAAATCAACGAGTCACAAATTCATGAACTGCTTTCGGGGCAATCCAGAGTTGTGTCGATATGTTTTCAACGCGGTTTGCCTGTCGGAAACGAAGTTGTGGGTGCTCGCAAGAGAGAAATAACCCTGCAGAAGGAATGCTCCGTGTGGCACAGTCGAGCAGAGGTGTCGGAAGGGACAGATGCTCAGATATATCAGGGCAATAAGATGTCAAAGAGATCGCACTTGTAGCGTAAGCTCCAGAGACTGTCGAGGGTGTTGGAAATCGCGTTCCTTCGGCGCATGAAGATGAAGCTCTTGTGAGATCCTTGGTCAGGCTTCGCGCCTTGCCGGATTGGGATCTGAGTCCACGAATGACAGCGCTCTTCACCTGCAACAATCGCAGCGAGGTATCGTACAGTAGGACCTGAACATCTACGCAGTTGCTAGGCGGCTTGGGTTGAAGCTCTACAGTAATTACTACGGCTACTAGCCTGTATTGACGGCGCTGTTGGTTCTGCGCCTTAGGCCTTCTGATGCAGCACACCAACCGAAGACGGCAATGACCCAGACACCCAGATTACGTGCATCGCTCATATGGACCTCTCCCGCCGCCACCGTGTCTCGCACTACAAATCATCGCGTTTGTCCTGTTGTCCTTGCCATCATAGTATCTTAATCTCTTCGAAGCATTCGGCGCACCTTCTCGAAGCTTTTCAAGTTGCTTCATCCAGGTTTCACGTCGCACGTCATTAGCCGCAGCGCTAGACGGGACGATCCTCCCGAATCGTCACCATCGCCCCTGCCCCCTTCACCCAAGGGTTGTAACGCAAAAACGAACATTACAAGTACTTGACGTAGAAAAAAAAAGGTCATGCTCTCGCGTTCTGTGACAATGTTCTCTAGCCGATACGTAGTCTGTTCTGAAGGAAGCGGCGCAGCGTGCATTCATCGAGCGCCTTGCAGCGCATCACACGTAAATAGGTCTTCAGGAGGCAAAGGGTTTCTAGAACAACTTTTGTCGACGAGCTGTTCTGGACCTGGCTTGTTGTTATGTTCTCTTTGCGAAGAATACCATAATATTTATGCGATTGACCCTGCCATGCAGCATACGTTGCTCATACCGCATACCATGTACAACGGTGCGATGGAGTGGACGAATGAATAGGCGGCAGGTAACGTCGAAAGCGCCACAGGACAGGCGAGAGCAGTTGAACACGCCACAGGTTGTTTGATCGTTATCCGAACATCAGGAAAACCCGTGCGCTTCCTTCGATTAACATTGGTAACAACTGCTACCACGTCTTCTTGCGCACAACGCTTATTAATTCCATTCTTTCCTGTGGAAGTGCTATAATCTTACTGCCAGTATGGTGCCGCCATTTCCTAATGATGACATACAGTCAAGAAGCACGCCACTCCAAGAGCTATCTAACAGAAAATACCGAGTGTAAGGATACTTGTTGGACAAGATAGAATTTGACCACCTAGTTAGACCCTGTGGTCTTTGCCCACCTGCTTACATCCAATAGTCCCACAACCCAGTAAACCGTATGTGTACCGCAAGAAAAGATTTTCAACATCGAACATGCTCTCATCGATACGACACCACACATTCACTCCGCTCCCGCAATTACTCATCAACCATCCTCGTTACTTGGGCAATAAAGACACCCGTGCGCCTGGTATCATATCCGCAAAACCCGGCGTGCACATGGCACTCAGGGCAATCGCGCCCGAATTCGTCATCATTCATCTCCCCACACGCTCGCCATCAACGGTCGTCCAGTAGGTTTGCAAATGAAGCACGTATTCGGGCCCTTTTGACGGCGATGTGAAGCGGGGATCTCCCACGTTGTTGTTGTTCGCTTCCTAAAGACACACCATGTGGGGCTGGCAAATAGCTTTCCCCTGGCATGATGCATGTTATTACATCAACTGGCGTTGGCGTCAGTCATGTAGCGCCATCGCGATAGGGAACCGTTGAAATCGAGGCTGAAAGCTTTTGTGAAGTAGGTTCTAAAGGGTCTGAAGGTTTGGAAGATTCTGCAGACGGAGAGGAAGAAAACGATAGTTCGCGTACGAAAGTGGGAGGGGTTAAAGTTCATGTCCATTCAATTGAGAATTTTTGTGTTGTTTTGGGTATAACGCCTTGCCTTGCGGCTTATTTTGTCTCTTCCGTTCTTATCCGATCCGGGTTTCCTTTCTTTGTGATACGCCACCAATTGACCAGCAAAAAAGTAAGATGCTAAATGCGATGAAATATTTCGTCCGCTCAAACAGCCCTATATGCTGGAGCCCAGACCTAATGAAGTTGCGATGCGAGAACGCTCAACGCTCGATCAAACCCCCGTGAGGGCGAGAGCCAGTGACAGAAGGGAATATGTAACATGAAGGAAACACCAAAGGTATGAACAGCTAGGAAAATCGTATCGTACAAACGTGTAGAGACATTACATCTTGCACATAACGTGGATGAAATCAAGGAAATAACGTTAGATCAATCATCGATCTGGAGAGTATTGCAAGGCGACTCGACGGGAGCCGCTCATGCTGCTTCGTGGAGAGGAGTTGAGCACGAAGTCAGGAATCGGAGGTGTCATTGCCCGACTAGGAGGAGATGGACTCCTAGACTTGGACTGCATGCTTGCCGCACGTTCGCGAGTGAAGCTTCTGGCCTGATGAAGAGAGGGAGGGCCTACTGCAGTTTGGCTGAGGTTACTGCTCGACCTCATCCGGTTAAATGAGCGTGGAGGGCATGCGATGGCTTGGTTTGAGTATGGGCTGGCCATAATGCTGGTACCAGGCGTTGCTGCAGGAGGTGGCAGACCAGACGGACTTTCTGACCTGAATAGTGGATGAATATGAGCCTCGCTGCATGCCGGACTAGGAGGACGCGAAATGTCTGGCATCATCCTGGGAGGTGGGGCCAAGTCTTCATCCTCCTCTGGAAGCTCTGAAAGGAATGGACCGTCCAATGCACGCGCAGGCGAATTCGGGCGACTGCCGGGAATTGGCTCCAAAGTCGTGCCTCTTGATGGTGCTGCTTGCAGAACGACATCGCGTGCTGGAAGACTCACGCTGCTTGTGTCCCAACTATCGAAACCATCTGAATGGGAGACGGTATCGATTGACTGCCGATTCGAATAAATGCTGACTGGGGCGTCTTTGGTGAAGGACTTCTGGCTGATGAGAGTGGTACGCGATGTGACTGGACGGACTACGTGACGAAGAGAATCTCTGAAAGATTTGAGTGACTGTGATGAGCGAGTGGAGAAGGTAGGAGAGGGCAAGGCTCCTAGAATCTCAGGTTGCTGGTGAGCGGCCAAAGGGGACGAAGGTTGGACTGGCTCTGCGAAGTGGAGATTGTTTGGGCGTGAAGTTCGCAGCTCACTCATGACTGAGTCACGAGGACCTGATGTGACGACGGTCTGCACTTTAGGTGTCTTGCGGTTCCACAGGGACGAAGTGTAGAGGATAATCTGACTGGAGCAGGAGATGGCCCAGGCTGCTATTTGACCTGAGACATGGCTGTCCCAGTCTGAGACTGGTCCACTGAGGGGGCCAGCAGTAACTTCTGCCCATCTTGACTTGATCATGATGATCAGGATGAGGGAAAGTACCAGCGCAGCGCCTGATACAAGGACGCTGGTGGCTACAAGAGCCTTTCTTGCCCGACCTGATCGTTCTAGAGCTCCGCGGACATCTCCTACATTGTGGAACATGTAGAAGCCAATGCAGCAGAGAGAGACAACGTCGACCGTGCCTGCCACAGCAGCAATGTTGACGAGGGACGATTGAGCCGAAGAAAACGATGCTGCCTCCAGAATAGACAAGATTGAGTCTGCAGCCGTGCTTGACCATGCAACAACGCCGACGAGAGAAAGGTAAAATTTGCGAGACTGTAACATGATGAAAGGATTGCGTGAGGTTGTTGGCCAGCTCAAACCCCAGCCTGAGTGCTGTTTGGTGGAAAGGCGACAGTCAGCCCGGAGAACCTCAAGGTATCGATGAGACAGCAGCAGTATAGTCGTATTATAGTACCAGGGGTTTCCAGGGGGTACTGTCGATAATTGGTTTTGGTTGACTGACACCAAAGAGGATGCTGCAGAGAAGTGGGTGAACTATCGGTTGAAATGCAAGATGGAGCCCCCAGTGTTGTTGCTGTGGAGAGGCGCGAAACCGGATACGCGCGAGACGAACGCGTTGCAGGAAATAATGCGGCTGTATAGCTGCAGCTACTATAGTCGAGCAAGCCGTTACGGGGCGTGGCTGATGCGGGTCTAGGCCGGATATAGTATGTACGTTATGGCTGGCCGATCTTCGGTAGGCGACTAAGGATTACGACGGGTTTTGGGAAGCGAGCGTTGGAGGATGACGACCAACGACTGGTTGACGAGCGATGCAGTGACGAAAAAGGGACAGGACGGCGGCGTGAAGAGGGGAGAGCATGTGGGGAGGGACGAGAAGTAATAATAAATTTAGAAGAAGTCGAGAGGGCTGATGTGTGCCCATTGTTTCGTGGACTGGCCTGCAACACGCGTAGGACAAACGGGGAAACCCCTACTAGTACGCTGGGATGCACGCAAGCATCTATCCAGCATGGCGCTGCACGACCTTGAGGCATGGTTACCGAGTCCTCAGGCATGGCCATGCGACATTGGCACAACAGAATGCAGTAGCTTGGCCGCAGAGCTGAGAGTATAATGGCATGCCTATGAATCAGTTTGCTGGCACTGGTGCCGGATGCACTGGAATCTGATGCAAAAGAAGAAAAACGGTTTGTCTTTTCGAAACACGAGCAGAGGCAGCCAATGGCAGGCCTGACCGGCTCAGGCGTCGAGAGCCGGAAACAGTTCAAGGGCCTACCTGTCAAAGTTTAAGGTGTGGAGCTGCGGTAAGTTTAGCCCTTCATTTCCTTACGCGTTGTTTTGGCTATGCGTTCGGCAGACACAACAAACAACCCTACGAAATGGCGTTCGGACAATTTCCAGGACTGATGAGCTGTGGAGCCTCGCTCGATCTGCCATGTAAGCGCTGGAGGAGTCATTACGGAGGTGCGACCGACGATAGTCCCCTTCTGCAGCGCGGAGGTCACAGCATATCCATAGGCGGCAGTCATACAGTCGGCGTGTCGTAGCCAGAGTTTGCCATGGCGGTGAAACGGTTGCCCTCGCCTCATAATTGGCGACTCATGGGCGGCGATTGAAACAAAGGGCCGATCAGATGTGCTGCAGATGGCTGGGCGACGACGATGACAGCAACCTTGTCAGGTTTTTGGAGTTGTTGGTGCGCGGCATCTGGAAGCGTGCCGTGTGTCGATGGATGTCAGCCCACTAGGCCGGGGAGGAGATGAAGCTGCGGCTGGGCGATCTACTGTTGCGTCACTGGCCGTGTTCTGGCCGTTGGGGGCCCTGCAATGGATTCGCGAGCCCTGAGCTGGATGTCAGCATTCGTTACAAAAAGCAAAAGTCCCGTGACCGTGGTGGGTGTGTGGGTGGGTACGTCAATACCGAGGTATAGGCGTAGGGGTCTTCGCGTTCGCTTTAGCACTGAGCTGCGTCCTGTCAATCGATGGATCGATGCGTGCCTGGAGCCTGTAATGCGCCACACGTCTGTGGCGGCAGAGTGTGGCGGGTGAGATGGCGATGTGGTTGACGACAGAGATTCTGCCTAACTCAACACTAACGGACTTTGTTTCCACAGTCTTCTGAGCAAACGAACCACGCTTTGTAAGAATAAAAAGACGACAGTTGTCTCGGCTTTCTATCACTTGCTGCAAGCTTCCCTCACTACTCAGGTACTACTAAACCCCGCCAAGAAGTGGAAGTGCCTCATCATCCCCACTACCTCATCTTGAACATCAACACCCCACCCGACACAGCTCCATCTTCGACCACGCACGCAGCAACCGCCAAGATGAAGATCACATTCAAGGTATGTCCTTTGCTGCACTTCCGGCCGCTACGGAGCCACAGCTGACCACTCCGCAGGACCTCAAGCAGAACAAGTTCGTCATCGAGGCCGAGCCTTCGGAAACGGTGCGCAGACCCGCCACATGTCGAAATTTATCGCAACCACATGCTAATACACGCACTAGATTGGCGCCCTCAAGTCCAAGATCCAGGCAGAGAAAGGCTGGGAAGTTCCCCAGCAGAAGCTCATCTACTCTGGTAAGCTTGCAGCCGCACCCGGCGAGGTGGCATGGCAGCTACAGTCCAGTCGCTGACACAAGACAACAGGCAAGATCCTGCAAGATGCCAACACGGTCGAGTCGTATAACATTGAGGAGAAGGGCTTCATCGTCTGCATGGTCTCTAAGCCAAAGGCCGCTGCATCGACAAGTAGAGCAGCGCCTTCCACACCTGCCCCAGCAGCAGCCCAGACGCCTGTAGCTCCGGCCGCACCAGCGCCTTCATCCAGCACACAGAACGCCCCTGCTACACCATCACCAGCACCGGCCCAGGCGTCCGGCGAACGCTTCAATGACCCCTCGGCTCTGACTATGGGTGGAGAGCGCGAGGCCGCCATTGCAAACATGGAGAGCATGGGTTTCGCAAGGGCTGACATCGACCGGGCCATGCGCGCCGCCTTCTTCAACCCCGACCGCGCGGTTGAGTATCTTCTGACGGTAGGACAAGCGACGCTCCTGCCATTCAGACACGTTCTAACGTCCTTCTAGGGTATTCCCGAGAGTGCGCTCCAGGAGCAGGCACAACAAGCACAAGCTCGTGCCCCAACCTCGCCCACCCCCCTTCAAGGCAACACAGATGCGCCCGCACCCACCGGGAACGCACCTTCCGGAGGTGATGAGCCGATGAACCTGTTCGAAGCCGCTGCCCAGGCCGCCCAAAATCGCGGAGGTGCTGGCGGTGCTCGCTCAGGTGGTACTGGAGGCGGTGCTGCGGCCGGTGCGCTCAACGCCAACTCTCTCGACTTCTTGCGCAACAATCCGCAGTTCCAGCAGTTACGACAGGTTGTACAACAGCAGCCACAAATGCTTGAGCCTATTCTACAGCAGGTTGGCGCAGGTAACCCTCAGTTGGCGTCGATGATCGCAAACAACCCCGAGCAGTTCCTGCAGCTCCTCGCAGAGGACGCAGACGAAGATGCGCCACTGCCACCCGGTGCCCAGGCCATCTCTGTGACCGAGGAGGAGCGCGAGGCTATTGAGCGCTTGTGTCGCCTTGGCTTTGAGCGGGATCTCGTTATCCAGGCCTATTTTGCATGCGACAAGAATGAGGAGCTGGCCGCAAACTTCCTCTTCGACCAGCCCGACGATGCGGACGATCAGTAGAGGCCTTCGAGCTCTGTGCCATCACTGTGCGACCCTACCATACCCGATATTGACATTCGTCCGTCTGATATCACCGTTACAATCGCACGACAAATATCCCCGAAAATTGGACGATATTATCTCGAGTCCATTCCCATTACACGGCTAAGTGCAGTACTTGGGATGCGGAAAGGAATCTCCGACCAATCCTACTGATTTCTATGACGATACATGATACCTTCCGCATGCGGCACGGCTAGGAGCTGCAACTGCTGATTCTCTGGGTAGTTCGAGGACCAGCATGCGCTTGCCAGGCTGAGTAATAGTTCATCAATAAATCATCCCATTTCCAGTATTGAATTGCAATGTGTAACAATACCAAGCTGACATGACTTCCTGACAATCGCTGCTTACCTCTAGCCCGTGACGTATCGGTATCGCAGTTGTGGTAATTTTACGCGAAATCCTATAGTTGACCCAAGTGGCAGCAAGGGAAAAAGCACGTCCTCGTTGTCTCACTCAGCCTCCTTTGAAAAACAAAGCAAAGGTCGCGTATCTCATGATCCTGCCCTGACCCTACGTTCACATCTCCTTTTTCCGTTTCCAAACGGACAGGCCTTTATTTTTATCCAAGACCCCAGGCGGCCCGCTCCCTCCCTGAGTCCCGCTCCCTGGTGCTGGGTCTTCTTTTTTGATTCCATGTCGTTCTTATCTAGGCTGATCTTCTCGTATTACGTATCTTCTTTCCTTTGTTCGACCCTGAATAAGTGGATAGGTAAGTTTCAACGAGTCTTGTGGTGTGAGTTGTGCTGCGATGGTGATATCAGGGGCTATTGCGAATGTTCGATGACAGCAATCTCGAATGATGTCGCACGCAACGAATGAATAGTAGAGAAGAACATTTGCGCTCGAAAAGGATCAAGTTGGTAAAGCAGTGGTATACAAGTAGACTAGCTAGAGAAAACATCATGCTTCCACAGCAGCAGCCTTCCTCTTGCGACTCCTCTTCTTCTTTTTCTTCTCGCCTTCGACAATGTTGCCGTCCTTGCCATTATCACGCCCAGAGGGAGCAGCAGCCTCTTCTTCGCCGACCAGAGCCTCAAACCCACCCTTGGGTCCGTCCGGATCGCCGAACGTGTCTTGTCTCCATTGCCTGATACGCGCCTTCTTACTGAGGAACTTCTTATCCTTTTTCTTCTTAACGGGATCTCTGAACGCTGCTAGTTTCTTCAGTCCAGCAAACTCGTTCAGCGCCTTGTCATCTGCGAGCAAAATGTCGCGCGCAGTCAGACCGAAACTCGTGGGGGACGTTTCGCGATAGCGGAAGCGGGAGGCGGCCTTGGAGGGCTTGGAAGCAAGTGCTGCCTCGTATTCAAGGTTTTGGTTGACGAGGTTTTCTATTAGGCGGCGATCGCGACGGGCGGTGGATTTGGCTTCTGCACGTTCTTGTTTCCGCTGCTTAGAGGACTTCTTGGATGATGCACCAGCCTCTGCTTCTTCTTGTTCTTCGTCGCCGTCCTCTGCTCCGGCATCGGGCATGTCGTCGTCTGATGAAAGGTCGGGTCGCTCTTCGTCAGAGTCATCCTTGAAGTCAGGGACGAGATCTTTGATGTCGATATCATCGTCAAACTTGGGCTTCTTAGGCTTCTTGCTCTTTTTGCCGCCATCTTCCTCGTCTTCGGCGCCAGCCTCGCCGTAATATGCATCGCCAAAGCGCTTCTGCATCTCAGCATCCCATTGCTCGTCTGACCAGTCGGCTTCCAACACATCCTTCCACTCCTCTATCTTGAAATCCCTGCCGCTGAGACCTCCGATCTGGCGAATTTGCTTGACCTTGTTCTCCATGTCTTCGACCTTGAGCTTCCGGAGACGTGCAAGGTCTTGCTCCTTCTCTCTCTTTTCGGCTTCTCTCTTTGCCCTGGCCATTTCACGAGCCTTCTTCCGACCGGTCTTATCATCTCGGCGGACTGTAGTGCTTGCAACGGCATCACGCGCGTAGGTCATGATTTTCTCATTTGCGCCAGTTGTGTCCTCAAAGTATAGGTTGTATGAGTTCTCCCATTCATCGGCAGCAGCGTCTTCTTCTTCGTCGTCGGACATGAGGGGTTGGAAGCGGGCAGATTGTGTAGGCACCCAAGCGCGAGATGCCATGAAATTGGACAAGAACGTCTCGGGGTCTTGGTCAGCTTTCTCGACATCTTCGGCAGTGATCTTGACTCGGTCGTTCTTGGACTTCTCTGGTTTCTGTTTCGCGACGATAAAGTCATCATCTTCTTCCTCATCTGCATCCTTGAGCGCCTTGACGAGATCCTGCCTAGCATCCTCCTGTTCCTGTGCGTATGTCTTGGGCGGCGCATCCTCGTCCTCGTCTTCAACTGTGAACTTTCCCTCAAGTAGATTCTTGGTATGGTAGTCTCGTAGCGTCATTGACGGCTCCTTGTTCTTTGCATCTGCGTCATTTTGGCCGTCCTCGAGTTCCTTGTAGAATTTGGCTTCCTTGTTGTAGATGCGAGGATCTTTTGCGCGCAAAGCCTGGAGAGTAGCATTGACCTGTTGGTCTAGTTCCTCATCGAGCAGTTCGGCTGCATCATCCTCTTCCACGCCTTCTTCAGAGTCTTCGGATTCGTCGCCGCCGTTTTCGAACGCTTTGTCCTTGCCGTACTTTTCCTCTACTGCTTTGAGTTAGTAGCTGCAAATGACTCGACACGGAATACGCGTACGTCGGAATTTCTCCGCCTGCTTCTTGTTGTGCTCGTATTTGCGAGCGTATTCCTCGTTAACCTTGAGCGACACTCCGCCATGATCGCTGTCGGAGCCCTCGTCGTCGGTGTTGTCGAGCAACTTGGCCTTCTTGGTGGGCGGCTCGCTCGTCGCATTCAGCTCGCGTTTGACGCCGTTGGTGCGCTTCTTGTCCTTGGTGCCTGCCATGGCGGATGTTGAGGTGGTTGTTGGACTGGCTTGCGCCGGATGGTCACAAAATTTTGGTGGAGTCGGCGCTAGCGCATGAACCCTGACGTTCGCCGCGGCAGTGACGATGGACCCGCCGCAACCCCAATCGAGCGGTATGTGAGGGAGGAGAAGCGTCAACACGCGACACGCTCGAGTGCGCCTTCCACCATGTATCATAGCTCCCTTATCTAGTCTTGTTCAACTTCCTTGCGCGATACCCATTTCCATAGCGTTTCTCCACGAGCAGCCGGCAGCATGGCGGAAGAGAAGCCGCCGCAGCTCAGCATAGAGCCGGTATCCAGACCGCTGGATCTGATGTTTGTCCAGGTGACTTGAGCTGGAGAGACAGACACGCTGACCAAGATACCCAGACCAGTCGTAATCAAAGAAGCCGCCCTCGATTCACCTACGTTCCGCGCAACCGCTGTCCACTACGGCGACCAGATTGAACTGATAGAACGATGGCTCACCTCGTTCGTCACGGCAACGTCGAAGCTTACCGCCGAATGCAACAATATGCAGGCACTCGTAGACACGTACATACAAGCCTCGCATCCCCCATTACAGCTCTCCGAAGCCGTCGTCGACCACGATTACACCGTCCTAGCCCTGAAGCGATTCGGAGAGGGCGCACGCGAGTTCTGGAATGGCACACTGCGCAGCATGAAGAGGGCTGAGCAGACCATGTGCGAGCCCATGAGAGCATTTGTGTCCAACGACTTGCGCATGCTGAAGGAGGCGCGGAAGAACCTCGACTCAACACAGCGCACATTCGATGGAGCCATTGCCCGTTATGCCGGCCAAGTCAAGACAAAGGAGGCGTCATCGCTGAGAGAAGATGCCTTCCAGTTGCATGAGGCGCGACGGGCATACCTCCAAGCCAGCATGAACTTCTGCGTCATGGCTCCCCAGGTGCGACTGACACTGGACAAGATACTGGTCAAGGTCGTCAACGAGCAATGGAAAGACATGAAGGCCGCAACAGAGGCTTCAAGTAAAGGCTTCAGCGCGTGGACTTCAGACGTCGAGCGTGTACGAGGCTGGAGTAAGGAAATGGAGAACGGCGAGCGTGTCTTCAAGAGAGAGCTGCATCTAGCACGGCAGCAGATCGAGGGTGCAGCCGAAGTCAGTGCAAGGCCTTCACGAGACTTGGATACATATGCAGCTTCGACCGTCCCCTATCTTGGCACCGCGCCTTCGTCCGCAAACCTACAATCTCCAGCAAAGCCTGAGTTTGGCATCGAGAAGGCAGAGAAACAAGGCTGGCTGTTCCAGCGCACAATCACTGGCAAGCCCGCCAGGACCTATTGGGTCAGACGTTGGTTCTTCGTCAAGAATGGCATTTTCGGCTGGCTCACGCAGGGAACGCGCTCCGGTGCGGTTGAAGAGTCAGAGAAGATTGGTGTGCTGCTATGCGGCATCCGACCAGCCTTTGCCGAGGAGCGACGCTTCTGCTTCGAGGTCAAAACGAAAGACACTACCATCCTTCTCCAAGCCGAGACCCAGAACGACATCACCGAGTGGATCTCCTCCTTTGAGGTTGCCAAGCGCAAAGCCCTTGAAGATACATCCAAGGATCTGTCAGGTGCTGCATCCGTTGACGCTGCTTTCTCCATAAGCCCTCCAATAGCTCCCGAGTTTGCCGCAAAGACCTCCGAGGGACACGCTGGCCACCCGGGTGAAGACACAGTCGCTATGGACCGTACCGAAACGCTCGGTATTCCTGGTGGTGATGCCAATGCGACACGCGGCAGCTTCGATGTGTCGTCTCGACGTGGCACTACGACCGAAAGCGATAGCAGCCGTCGCGATCACACTGCTAGGATCATGGAGAAACTTGACCTGACAAGAAAGTCAACAGTAAGCCCTCAGTTGAGTGGAAGCAATCCCTCTTCTGCCAGCGGTGGCATTGCTAGTCTTATCTCCGCGAGTCTTGCCTCAGCTAGTCATAACATTGTGCAGGTTGGACAGATTGCCGCTCCTGCACCTGGACTCCCTGATACTCGCCTTGTCATGGGTCAGACACTTCCTTATACTAGTCTAGCTCCTTCTACCCTTGCGAGCCCACCAGCCCCGACAAACCTTAGCAAAGCTGCTGTTGCTGTGAGCGGAGAGCGAGGTCTTGGGACCGGTCGTTCGGGTAATATGCCTGGTGGGCTTATGGCCAACCTATGGGGCTCAGTCAACTGGGGATACGTCAACGTTCTCGGGCGCGAAGAAGAGACCAACACCCGTGATCGTAGTCAATCTGGACCTCCAAGCCCCATCAATCCATCTCCAGTCCTTGGGCCTAGTGATGAGAAGAATGGAACAGAGGCAGCGCCTACTGTCCCGACCAGCGCCGCTCATCGCAAGTCAAGTAGTATGGGAGGTCCTATCCCGATACTCAACAAGCCCAATGTCGAAGAGGTTGATTTCCCAAACTACTACCCTCTAGCTCTGCGGATGCAAGACGCACAGTTCCGTATACTATTCCCTACTGTGCCACGGGCGGAGAAAGTTGTGCTAGTATTCCGTGCGGTATGGAATCCGACAGAGCAACAAGAGTTCCCCGGACGTGTGTACGTCACAACCAAGAATATTTACTTTTACAGCAATCATCTTGGTCTTGTGCTCATTACTGGAATAAGCATGGCTTCTATTGATGAAGTCACCGCTGCACCCGGCAAGGACTGCGACTTTCTTTTCCTACACTTCAAGTCAGGTTCCAGAGAAGATGGTGCAACTAGGCTCACTGTCAAGACGTTCCTCGAGCCTCTCAAACTGCTCCTGCGTCGCTTGAACTTCCTTGTACGCAACACTACCTCTAGGGAGCACAACCTGGAAGAAACGATAAAGGGGATGATCAAGATGGAGACGGATGAAAGTCTTAATTCAGTAGGTGAGGAGGGCTGGGAGGAAATATCCCCAGACACGCCTATTGACCCAAATACTTATGGTGGTGGGAAGAATATCAAAGCCAGTCTCCGCATCGATGGCAATCTATTTGGGCCATCTGGTGCAAGTGCTGGAAAGAATGCCACCAAATTCAAACTTCCATCGCAAGCTGTAGTCTTCGCCCCTGCTGGCATGACGCAAGTCGCCGTGGAGAAGGAATATGACATTAGCGCGAAAGGACTATTTCATATACTCTTCGGCGACAAAAGCGCTGTATTCCAGTTACTTTACCGGGAAAGGAGAGCATCCCGCATTGTTCAGGGGCCCTGGATCACAAGCGACAAAAACCTCCAACGAAGGGACTTTGAATATGAAGTCGCGCAGCCGGGTAAGAACGGAGCTATTGTTATAAACGACTACCAAGTCATCGAAGTGTTGAACGATCATCTTTGTTATGTGGTCTCGGATCGCAAAACGCCTTGGTACCTGCCAGGCCAAGAGCGATTTGTACTTCTCAGCAAGACTGTCATCACACATGTCTCGAAAGCACGGTGCAAGCTGGCTATTCACACAAAGGTAGACTGGAAGCGAAATCCACGTTTTGCGAAAAAGCTCATCGAACGTCAAGCCTTGCAAGACTTGGAACTTGAGGCGCAGGACCTTGTTGATGTCGTCAATGACCAGGTCGCAAGGCTCGGTCACAACAGAAGCACGAACAAGGTTACGGGCATTTTTGGTCAGATTGGGGCTCAGACACAAGCTGTGCAGCTCGATGCACAGGACATCCCACCACCAAACCGACCGCGAAAGTTCAAGTTACGACCACAGACGACAGCTTCTTTTGTCGCGCAATATATCGGTAACATCGTCATCAGTGTGCTGTCAACAGTTATGAGTTGGATACTAGCGATCGGCGCAGGGCTCGGCAAAGTCATTTCAGCACACTCTTTGCTCTTTGGCCTTCTGTTAGTCAGTGGTGGTGCCAATTTCTTCTATACTTCAAGAGACAGTTGGAGCTGGTGGCATGAGCGAAATGCCGCAAACTACATGTCGCGACTGGGCGTCAAGCCATCGACTACGATGACACGCTCGATTTACATTCGCGACATCGAGGAGTCGTTCTTGAACAGGAATAGTACGGGTCTTGAATTTTCAGTGCCAGTTGCGGCCAGCACCGACAACAAATGGTATGTTGCCCTCGACTTGAAATCCTGACATAGCTAACTTTGCACAGCCATCAGACATTCACGACCCTCCTTCACGACCCCTTGTCGACAGTTTCGACACAGTCATTCTTCAGACCCTCCACACATAGCACCCAGCGTCTCCACCGTACGCGACAGAGCCTTGGCTCACATCGTCATGACCTACTCGTTGCTCTACGGGTTGTTAATCGAATTGAGAAAGAAGTGGTGGAAGCGGAATACGAGAACTGGCTGCTGGATGAGACACACAAATGTAGCAAGGTTGGAAAGCTCTTGGAGAGCGCAGCCAAGAAGGGGAAGGAAAAGCAGGTGGAGGATTGGGTAAAAGGTTATTGCGGGGACTGTCAGAAGAGCTTGAGGGTTGTTGAGGAGAGCCGGAAGGGTCTGGTTTGAGTCTTGCTTCGGCTGGTTGTTGAGCTCAGATTGGACAAGGGGTCAGCGTACCGGAAAACAGTGTAATGTCGTCGTACAACCCACAAAACGCAGAAAAAATATTTCCGCTTGAAAAATGTGCTGAACCCTCTGTCTCCCGCATAAGCTCGTCTCGGGCTGGTCGCTCTGACGCTTGGTTTTTCCTACATCTACCTGGACACTTCCTGGGTTCTTCACCTCTCCCGCCCTCGCGTTTGCGCTCGACTTAGATCCTGACTTCTCTGGGCAATTCCAATCAGTTTCCGCAGCTAATCTGCTTAGTCAAACAACTGCAGCTATGGCCGTGATCGGTATGACTTGCAAGCTCACAGACGACAGCGTTGTCGTGAACGGCGACCTCAAAATCTCATTCCGAAGGACAGTTCGCGTACCTGAAACTAAGGAATCAAACTGGCTCCCTCCCGACCTTGGCGCTTTCCCACTCAAGCCCGTATCGCAACATAGCAAAAACCTGCCTCCTGGTATGGCTGTCAAGGGAGGAGTGCTCTTCCCCATGCATCGTAAGTGTAGCCAATGACTGCTTGTGACAAAGCGTCTCAGTCTAATGAACATGGTCCAGAACACGAGGCAATGTGGATCAACTTCAGTACTGTTCACGAAGATATGTTGCCGTATATGATCAAGATCTACGTTGGCGGCGTAAACGTAGTCTCTGCCCAAACTGCTATGGAGTCCATGGCCAGCCGCTCTCGTCGACAAGTACGACTGCAGACGACTCCGTCTAACCCAAAACCCGCGTCTCCTCTCCAAGATTACGTCGTGGTACCGGGACAGAGGTGGATTGATGGGATTGCTAACGGAGACGGTACAGTTCGTCAATTCGTTGCTGCACCTTTACACAGCGGACTCTCGGTTGAAGCGCAAATGACTGGCAAGGACGCAATAGGCGGGATACAGATCGAAATCACGCCTTACAAGCTCCCTTGCCCGTGTGAGTTCTCAGGTAGACCCATGCAGATCTTCCTGAAGCAGCTCGATGGTTCGACCAAGACCTTCAATGTCACAAACTTGGAGCCCATCGAGAACTTCAAGCTCCGTATTCGCGAGGCCACGGGTATTCCTACCAGCATCATCCGCTTAATATATGCGGGTAAGCAACTTGAAGGTGAATTACTTGGATCACAATCTAAGTAATACTAATACGCTAACTCTATGCTAGATAGGCGAAAATTTGGAGACTATCGCATCTCCAAGGAGGCTACTATCCACATGGTCCTCCGCCTTCGAGGTGCCGGCTCCCTTGTACACATATCCACACCTGAGATGAACACCGCAGCTGGCGGTCTCATTAAGCAAGTCATACATCGCGATATGCATCCACCCAACTGGGATACCACTAAGACGACCGTCTTCAATGCCCAGATTCTCAACTCTATGCTATACCAGGCTGTCACTGGTGCCAGGCCTCTTGTGCCCTCCATCCTCCACGAAAGATATATACATCACGGGCTTCCTTACTACAAGATGTACGAGGAGCTAAGCAATATTTACGGTAACTTCCACATGGTCAAGTCTGTGGGACAGATCACAGGCAAGGTCGATTGTAAGGTTGTGACAAAGGCTCCTCGAATCGTGAAGATCGGGAAAGACCACAAGAATGTGAGCCCGCCAGGTCCGCCGCAAGTATCGCATACGATATTCAAGCTAGAGGACGCGTTGGAAAGCTATCATATTGCGAACTTTTAGGCTAGCGTACAGTAGCATGGACGTCAATGCATGATGTTCAAGAGTTTGTGAAAATATATTTGGGGGTTTAGAGGCCATTCCAGGTTATCATATCAATTCTTGGCTAGGAATACAAGTAGATATAGGTTGAGCCTCCGTTTTGCTCAATCGTGAATGCCTGGAAAATATAGGAGGAGTTCAACTACGTAGTCTAAATCGAAAGATGGATCTCTTCCTTCCGTGGCTCATCTCCCTACTCATGATCAGACTTTTGATATGGTGCCCTTGTATCTTGATGACAAAAGGTCCCCTCATAAAGGATTTCCACAGGTTTCTGATTGTCTCAGCGGTACTAAGTCACAGTCAGCTCCCATGCTCTCTATTCGACCCTAGTTCCTGTCTATGAGGGCTGCCTCTCAAGCGTACCTTGACGAAACCAATATCCTGTGCCTTCTCGCGGAAAGCCTGACGACTCATGTTGAGTCCGTACTTGCGGATGATACCAGACTTCTTCTTGTCACCAGTGACAACACTGTCCATAGAATTAGCAGCTGGTCATCTCGTGAGCAAGATTGGTTCCAGTCTACCAGCCAATAGAAGCCTTTCCGTAGGTTCGTGGGCGCGAATACCAGACAGATTCATGTGACATCTTGGTGAGTTTGTTCGATGGGATTTGGAAAACCGCTCGTCGTTCAGCAGTCGGGAAGCTGTTTAGAAGTACAAGAAGAGTCTAGGCAGAGTTTTGCAAAGAGAATTTTGTTTGTGCGGGAGTAGAGGTGCATGATTGTGTGTGGTAGTACCTTGTTGGACACCATGTCTGGGATTGCATATCATGGTACTCGCAAGGGGATGGGGTAACGTGATCTGAAATATCACCTAATGCGTAATCACAGGCACCTTTTCTCATCGTAACGTGAGCGTTAAATCTGTCTTTGATGGCTTTGCGACAGCCGAAGACTGTCGTGCCCGAGATCATGTATGAGTCTATCTTATACCCTGAACTGACACAGACGGTGATGACACTTCTCGATAGACAATGCACTGCAACAGGAGTAACGATGAGACGTAGAGATTCTACAGGAGTGACATTCGTTCTGACGTCTATCTGCTTGAGCCTGCTCAAAGAGATCTCAATGACGCACCGAAACATTCCATCAAGACAATCTTGACTACAAGCCGATACGCCCGACCGATACGCCAAAATCCATTTAAAGAAAAGGGAAGAAGGGCGATACACCCTGTGTAATCTGACTGCATGAACCATAACTATCACCCTTATGACGCTTCGTGACGGTGATGGCATCGAGTTTCCGATTTCCAAGTAGAGACTTGGAAACACCCAAACGTCTTTCCTACCACAGCCAATATACGCAAACCGCTCCTGTAAGCTATGCAAGATCAGCTGTCCTATTCCGTCCATGGTATAATTCGTGATGTTGCTCCAATGACGTTTAGCTGGGAAGCAAGGATCAGAGAGATGCAAATGGATTTTCGTACAGTCTCTGAAACAGTGTCAGAACGCATCGTGCAGTGCCAGCCGCAATTAGTGGTCCTCGTAGTTATGGACGTCGAGAAGGCATCATGTTGAATGTCGCAAATGGAATGGAACAATGCGGATGCGAACCGGCCGCTCCTCAACCCCCAAGAATTACAACATCAGGTCACCTAATTCTTTTCATATGTCATCAATGTCGTAGTAATCGTCGAAGCCGTACGGGGGGCGCCGTATCTGAGGTCTCGCCCAGCCGTTACCAACATCATCGTCGTCTTTCTCCGCATCTAACGGTGTCCAAACGATAACTTTTTTGCGTAGCCTCCAGCTTCTCTTGTTAAACCTCGCTTTCATGTCACGCTCTTTTCCGTATCCAGGCGATTTCTGAGTAACGTCTACATTGTCGCCGCGCTTCACTAAGACGAGTAATGCTTTTCGGGCGCCAACCCCCCTGGTCAGCTCTTCGTCGTCAACCCTGCCAAATCCTTCAAGCTGATGCTCTTGTGGGTTCTGTTCAAAAGGCTCCCGCCTGTTCGTATCAAGGACGGATGTGCAGTCATTTTCCTCAGTCGCTCTGAACACTTGCACAACGGATCCGGAATCTTCTCCATCTCTGTTTGATAATCTCTTGTTCCAAAACCTGGGCTGAGGCTGACGGCAGATGTCCCCCGTTTCGCGAGATCCGTGGCTTCTGGAAGGGCTAAAGCCGAGCATGCGTGAACTCCGAGTAACATAGCGAAGCTCTTTCCATCCGTTGCCGCGGTTTATCAGGTTCGTAATAGCGTCATACTCCGGCGCAGCAGCTGCCACCGCAAATACTGTCAAGCAGTCCAACCTGAGTGCAGGAAGCAACTGGAAGATGGATTCATGACGGTACATGAGGTCGTCGAAACCTTTGAGATAGCGCATCATTGGGGAGCCGATCAACCGAAGGTGGCGGATCTTGGATACAGTAGAATCCGGTAATTCGGACAGCCTGTTTAGCATAGTTTGAGGATCTTCAAAATTGAAAGTAACACGCTGAAGCCATATGTCGCGTGTTTCGATGTGAATCTGGCGGGATACGCGCAATAGCGCGAGGGAATGTGGGGCAGGCTTGAGATACCTCTCGCCATAGCGGGGTGTGTATCGCAGTCCGAACGTCAGCCTCGTCGAGTTGAAAGCCAGCTCCCATATCTCGTCGCGCAGTTCTCGAGGCAGTTGCAACAAAGGACTCGAATCATTCAAAGCAGTATTGTCGTCTGTCATCCTTATCGACCTGATGGAGGTTTGGCGGGGTTCATTGTACCAGCGGTACCGGCCACTCTTGGGCGGGATAAAGTAGTCTTCGTCCTGGATCATCATCTTGGAGAAGGTTTGCCCTGCATTGGAATCGAAGGCCGTGGACGGCACCGAGACATGGGGATTGGCCGGCTTGATAACGCCTTGGTGGTGGTGAGCGCCAAGCAGGTTCCCGACTTGCCGTCACGCGACACCATATTAGTCGCCTGGCAATCTCGACTCAGCCACCTTCCATCTCCACCCAGTTGGGATGGTTACTCCACTCTTCTATCTCGACTTTCCCAATACTGTCAAAATGCCTCGCGCCCGCCGAATATCCCGCAGCTTGTTCCTCGTTCCTGGTTACAAGTTTCCCGGCCGACGCCCCGCTCCACAATCTGCGCTATACGGATGTCTAGACAATAAGCAACGCGTTAGGTTGGCGATTACATCAAGCGTATGCTTGGGACGCGTCTTGCATAGACTCCCGCACAGACAAAGACTCCGAAAATCGCGCTTTGAAGCTAACAGTACACAGTGGTACGCAGCTCTGAGGACCACACATGGAGCCGATATCCAGCCCTGGCAAATCATCGACGACACAGAATCCTGTCGAACCGCTGAGTCTAGATACCGAAGCCCTGCCAAGCATCTCCACACTCACCGAGATGCGCTGTTTACCACCTAAACGCTATGCCACATTGATGTCGATATCCCGTCTCAAGTTGCCATTACCGAGGCGTATGGCTAAGATGCATACAAGCGAGCCTGCCACCGGAACATCTCGGGCGCCATTTCCACCATCGATTGGTACCATCGTCCTCCGAGCGGCACGGTAGGATGCGTCCCAACAATAAGTCGAGGCTGACAAGTATGCCGTTCCACTAGAACACTGATCTTGAGGAAACATATTCGTGCTTAAATCGTCAAGTTCCTATAACGCATGAACACTCTGGAGATCGACAAGCTTGTAACGGCTTTCTGGTGCTTGGTGCGGGAAAGTTGAAGCTCGGGTCAGCAACGCAGCTGTGGATCAGACTCCATAATCAGTCATTGGAACTCCGCCCAAATGCAACATGCGTGAGACCTATGCGTGAGGCTCCGCAACACATCGTTTGGTGCGGCCCTCGCCATGCCGGTACATTGTTCTCAAGCCGCATATGGATTGCATCGGTGGCCGCCGGACAGGCTCCAATCATGGTATATGCGCCACAATAGAAGCACTCGATACGAGATGGCTTTCGGATACCTTCCTCAAGAGTCACCCTGTGTGCCCAAGATGAAGCAGTGGGGTCTTACACCGGTATACCGCTCTTGGACATACGACAGAGTGGATCTCTGGCCTATGCTGGAGGAAGTCTAGCCGTGTTAGCTTCTTGATAGGTAAGACTGTGCAAAAAGAACGCGGATACATGGTTACACTACAACGAACACCAAGCTCTTCGTAAGTACGGCTTGTGGCTTAGCTCTTTCTTGATCCTTGCCGGAGGCTCATGAAATGACATCGACCATTACCTCCCGCCCTTGGAAGCGCTCTTGACGGCCGACGTTTCTGGGTGGGCTGGGTTAAACGCGCGATATGCTTTGACGAATAGCTTGGCCCAACGACTGCAGTGACTTCAGGCCTGTTGACTGATACGCCGGGACCTTCTCACATATCTCCTCGCTGATTGGATCTGCCAACCTTCTTTTTACGCCAACGGACCTGGTCTGTATCTACCTTGGGTTCTGTCTCAGTCTTCTCTAATGCTTGTAGCATGGTTCATTGCGGTCTATCACCTAAAAAAGAACACGTCGATGGATAACACCACATTGTTCGTTCTGCGCTATTGAATGAGGTTCTCATTGTTGTCCTGTAGCATGATGGCCTCTTGACTTCTCTCCCCTAACACCAATACTACGTTCTGCTACTAACCTGCATATTTTCGCCGTCAGTCCTCTGCAATTCTCCAACCTTGCGCAACGCCCGGCCCCTCTTCTCTTCACTCTGCCAACAACAATGCCTACTTGTTTGCTCGTCATCACGGCCAGCGCGTCGCGTTTTCTAAGCCACTTCCCTTCCAGATATCCGACTGCAATGTCTTCTTCCTTAAGCATCCTCGCGAAGGCAGAGACTCTATGGAGCAGACAATTTTGATACAAGGAAGAGCCTACATTCATCAGACTGTTCCGAATCTTAGACTCCTCACTAGCCTAATGACATCTGTCGAACCTTGAGCTGGGATGCGTATCCTACAACAACGATGACAGTCTAGGATTCCAGGGCTATGCTGATAACCCATTACCACTCTTGTGCCAAAGAATTGAGCAGCTTTAATAAGATTCGAGTCCATCACTAAAGACGCGAGGTATGCTGCCGAAGCTTGAGGCTGTGATGCTCAACTTCCACAGAGCAACTGCATTATCATATGCCGCATTGCTTGTCAGCTTTCCTACCGGAACCCTCACTGTCATTAATGCATAAAATACCGCACAAGAAGTGCCACCAAAAGTTCGTGAAGCATTCGGTAAGCCATACAAACAGGCAGGCATTTGTATGCCTGTAGAAGAACCCGACCTGTAGGAGCCACTTAAGCAGAGAAGCGTCGAAGACTTTATCGAGAGAGCAAAGAAGAGCAACAAGGTAGCCTCTAGGGTATGAAGGTATCACGCACCTCACAGTTAGAGACTAGGAGTTGCGTATGAAATAATGGATATGATGTTGTGCATCATTACTAGTACCGATGTAGGGCTAGCTCCCCTTGGAGTAGTTCGCATGTTGAACACCCAATGACATCATTCTCAGAGAATACCGTTCCATGTCCACCTTTCCCATCCGAATCATCGCGCACAAAACACGGAACTACGGAATATGTTCCAGGATCTGTGATCACACCAGGGCGCATTGTGGCTCAGCAGGCACGTGGCGCTGCTTTCGTTTGCCACGATGACGCGCACTCAATCGAAGCTCCCGTTCGCGCGTAATGCCCTGGGTTATTAGCCCATCACCCCGCCATCCAGCTTACATTGCGACATTACTTGATTATACGTGATTTGAAGCTACCTTTGTCTCAAAGTCTTCTTTATCGTTCTAAAAGCTGGTACCTGATTTTCGCATATCAACCACATAATGGCAGATTTCGCACCACCACCAGTATGTATATGGCGGTCACAACCATGGTGATGCGTGGTCATGGCTAATTGGATACACAGGGCCCTCCCCCACCCAAGGTACCGGAAGGCTGGAAAGCCGTCTGGAACCCGCAATACAACGAATGGTTCTACGTCAACGTCTACACAAAGCAGTCACAATGGGACAAGCCGACCGAACCTGTCTACCCTCCCGGCGAGGCCCCGCCCGCTGGTGCTCCTCCTGGGTATGCGCCTCCAGCAAGCGGCGCTGTCGGTGGATATCCTTCAGCCGCGAACGAGAAGGGAGGATTCGGTAGCAATAACCCTTACGCGAACACGAGCGAGGACGAGGCGCTTGCGAGAAGGCTGCAAGAAGAAGAACAAGCGCGCGCCAACGGACACTCGAGCGATACACGCGGACAGTCGAACGACTACTACAACCAGCCTGGACAGTCGCAACCACCGCAGTACGGCGGTTATGGCCAGCAGAGCACCAGCTCGTATCCGCAAGAACAACACCACGATGCGAATACACAAGACAAGGGCAGCAAAGGCAAAGGTCTATTAGGCAAGATCCTTGGAAAGGCTACTGGCTCGTCACACTCATCATCGTCGCACGGCTACCCACAACAACAGCATGGCTATGGACAGCCAGCATACGGCCAAGCGGGTGGAGCAGGCTACTATGGCGGAGGAGGCTATGGCCGACCAATGGGTGGTGGCATGCCTATGGGTGGCGGTATGATGGGCGGTGGTAGGCGTCCAGGAGGAGGCGGCGGCATGGGAGGCATGGCCCTTGGAGCAGGAGGAGGTTTGCTGGCAGGTGGACTTATTGGATCGGCCATGGCCGGGGACGGCGGCGATACCTATGTGGAGAACAACTATGGTGACGATGGCGATATGGGTGGAGGAGATATGGGAGGCGACGACATGGGTGACATGGGTGGAGATTTCTGAGACGGTGCAACTCCATTAAAGCCGTTGTACGATTTTCTTTCTTTGTCTAGACATTCATATCACTATTGTATTACACTATAGCTGATTAATTTCTCGATTCCAATATAATGTGCACGTTATCAGAGCTGGTTAATGAACATTTGCACGCATGTGAACTATGACGTATCTCAGTAATCGGTTTAAATCTTCCCGAAAAGTGCAATACGACCAACGCCACGCTTGCAAAACATCAACATCTTCATGCTCAAAGCAACTTCACGCCTAACAAACATCATGGCAGCGGATCAACAAAAACGCAATATCGTTATCATTGGTAATTTGAACCAATCAATCTACTTATCTCGAAGGTTTCTTGCTAACGATCTTAGGTGGCGGCATAATTGGCTCTACCACAGCATACTTTCTTTCGCACCACCCAAACTTCAACAAAGAAAGAGACAGCATCACACTTTTGGAAGCCACTAAGATTGCTGGTGGTGCATCGGGGAAAGCCGGTGGTCTTCTAGCATTATGGGCATACCCGAATTGCATTGTTCCGCTAAGTTACAAACTGCATCAAGAGCTAGCTGAGAAACATGGTGGCGCGGAGCGTTGGGGCTACAGAGCAGTACACTGTGGTCAGGTTGACATGTATGGCGTTCTAGCCAAGAGCAAGGGTGCCAAAGATGGGACGAACGGCAAGAGCAAAGAGGACTCAGTGAGCCTGCAAAAGCGAACACAGAAAGCGATCGGTTTACTACGTGCTGCCGGTGTACCGAAAGATTTGGATTGGGTGGCCGCGGATGGCATGAAGGCCTACGAGGAAATGGGTACACCACTCACGACGGCGCAAGTGCATCCTTATCATTTCACAACGAGTATGGCACAGCTTGCCGAAGAGAAGAGCGTCAAGATTGTGTACGGCTCTGCTACCAACATCGAGCAAGAGAACGGCGCGGTCAAGTCTGTTTCGTACAAGAGCAAAGAGTCAGGCGAAGAGCAAAAACTTGACGCCGATACCATTATCCTTACGGCAGGCCCATGGACGAGGACAGTCTGGAAGCCCTCGCCTATCTCAGCTCTCCGTGCTCACAGTGTCACCATCCGCCCTTCGCGACCCGTCTCTGCCTACGCACTTTTCACCTCAATAGATATGCCACGCGGCAACGGCAAACGCGGCGAGACCGTCACACCAGAAATCTATGCTCGACCGAACCAGGAAGTCTACGCGTGCGGCGAAGGTGATCATCTCGTGCCCCTTCCTACATCCACTGATCTGGTTCAATGTGATGAGAGCCGATGTCAAGAAATCGTTGAGCAGGTCTCCGCTATCTCAGAGGAGTTGAGAGACGGTGAGGTCACAGCAAGACAAGCGTGCTACCTGCCGAATGTAAGTAGAGGTAGCGGTCCGCTTATCGGAAAGACCAGTGTGAAGGGTCTGCTGATGGGTGCTGGACACACGTGTTGGGGTATTCAGAACGGGCCTGCCACAGGAAAGCTGTTGAGTGAGTTTGTGTGGGATGGCGATGTGAAGAGTGCGCAAATTGGTAGCTTGGACCCCAGAAAGTTCGGTGTTTAGATGCAGTGACAACTTTTGGCTACTATTGGTAGCTCGTTATACAATAGACACCTCAAGTTCCTGGCTCAAGTATTCAGCTTCTGATTTGAGACGAAGTCGTCCCAGCCTCTAGGAGTCTATCAATAACCCACAAACCCAACCTCATCAATGGCATGCAATTCTTTTCACTTATCCTACCTTGAACGGCGTCTACCCAAAAGACCACTGCAAAGCACCCACTCAAATGTCATCCAAATCCTCCTCCTCAGCCTTGCTTTTCTTCCCGTCCCCATTCAGCCTGTCCATCCTGACATTCTCTTGTCTCCTGGTGTCATTCATACCACCGCTCATAGCCATAGCCTGGCGTCCTGTATCCGAGCTCTCAAGGAAGGTACGAAGACGCTCCTTACCAACTTCAAGACCTTGCTGCGATGCAGCGTTGGCCATTCGTGCCATGGGGCCCCATAGGTTGAGAGTGTAGGTTACGTAGGCGCCGACAGCGAGAAGGATGAGGAAGATGAAGTATACTGGATTGCGAAGAACTGGGAAGTGTTAGTCGAAAAATAGCGGAGAGAAGGGACGACAAGGGAACTTACCAGCTACTATCTCGTTCCAACCCAGCGCGAGGAGTAAGCCGTAGAAGTACAACGGAACTTGTGTGATACCACCAATCGCGCTACGCTTGGCTTCCACATAGACACCATCTGCAGTCTTCTTGAAGCGGACAAGAAGGTCGGCTTGCTTGGCGTCGGAGAGAATCGTCATCTCCTCTTCCAGGGTCTTGCCCTCTTCATCGTCTAGACCACCGATGGGTGTCAAGTCGTCTTCATCTGCGGGCGTTACCGAGGCGGGTGCTTCGCCGATCCAGGCGTCGAGTGGTGGAGGGCTCGATGTTTTGGCCAACTTGAAACGAGCGAGTAGTGGAATGACGGTGATTGTCGACTCTCGGGCTTTGGTGTAGATGCCTTCTATATCGTCTGTGGGCCGCCATATTCTTGGGACGCCATGCTCGTCGTAGCGGAACTTGTCTTCGAAGTTTTCTCTTAGCTTCAACAGGATGTTACCTTCCATAACTTCCTCATCAATCTTTGCGCGGAGCACAGCCCACGACTTGCGCCGTAACCTCCACAGACCGACCTCAACTTCGTCGGAACTAGCATCGAAGCTCGATGCGCGATCGGTGAATCGCTTTTCAGCCATGGAAACAGTGTCGGTGAAGATGGTCCAGACACGATCCCACAGATCTTTCTCTGTCGGAGGTCGCTCCCCATGCTCGGGCGCGCCAGAACCGCCTCGACCGGATCCGAGCTTGTTGAATTCAAGACCGACAGACTCATCCAATCGTGATCGTACCCAGCGCTCGATACGTGTGGCCAACCGTCTCATCTCCTCCTTGCGCAGACGGCCAGATACGTCGTCGAGCTCCTTCTTGTAGATTTTCAACTCGTTTTCGTGACTGCTCCAGGCCGCACCTTCGATAGCCATGGCTTTTGCATCCTCTTCAAACTTGGCAAGTGCCTGCTTCTTCTCTGAATCGACAATTTGTGCAAAGTCATAGGTACCCTTCTTTTGACCGCTCTTGACCGCCGCACTGACGGCCTCGCTGAACGATTCCACCCCAGACTTGTGAGCAGCTGTGAGTTGCTTCTGGAACAGAGCCTTCAACCGTGAATCTACCTTGCCTTCAAGTTCTGCCTGCTTCCGCTTGTAGACGCCTTTGTGGTATCGGCTCGCATTCGTATCGAAATCTTTGAAGACCTTGGTTCGTGCGGCGCTCATGGCAGGGCCGAGGTCGGCTATAACAGAAAGCTTCCCTATCCGAGCATCTTCGGCTTGCCTGTCCTCTAGTGGCGTGATCTTCTCGTCGAAAGCAACCAGGACCTCACGCGAGATCTCGTCACAACGGAACTGAGCCAACAGCTCTTGCTGCGTGGGCAGATCCAAGTCCTTGTTGTTGACAATCTGATCCCATACGCCCTCGGCATATGCGGAGAAACCGTCTGCGGGGATCCGTCTGTGGTACTGTGGCAGGAAGATGGGTGCAGTCGACTCGTCGATGAGCCCGCTCTTCCTGGGGTCGTTGTATCCCTCCTTGAATCGTGTGCTAAGCTGTGTGACTGCCTCCTCGAACTTTTCCGGTTGTAGGATCTTGTGTGGTAGAGCGACGAAGGCGAAGTCGAAGTAGTCTTCTATCCGCGAGTTCTCCAGGCCGTTGGGCTTTGAGATGGTCGACCACAACTTGGACAGGTCTTGTACCAAGGTGTTTTGTAGATTCTTGAGGGGTGTCGTGCCGATGTGATCGCGAATGACGAAGAACAGGAGGGATCTGGGAGTGGACCTGCGTGGCTGTCAGCATGGGATGAGTCTAGCGTGGTCAACAAACGTACTTGCTGTCTTTGACGAAGAGTTGCAAGTTGACTTCGAAGACGGTCTTGAGCAGGCCCATGTTGGCACCCTGGTACAGTCCGACCTGGTGTTCCCAGATGTTGACGATGAGGACCTCGCTCGTGGCAAGCGCAAAGAGGGCGCTCTTGCGCTCAAAGTCCTGGTCCTCTCCTCGCTCTCTGCCGTCGGTACCCTCGACATCCATAACCAGGATATTTTCCGCCATGTTGGAGCCACCCTCCTCCCGCTTGTTCTTGCTCATCCATATTCCCTTTGTGGTCTGACGACGCTCCTGCTCGGACATGACGCCGAACTGGGTACCGAAGAGGTAATTGAGGAGGGTTGATTTTCCGGTGGACTGCGAGCCAAAGACGGATATGAGGTGGTAGTTGAAGCCCGAGGGGATAACCTTCTCAATGCCGAGATATGTGGATAGGTTTGTGCTGCACAGCGAGTTGCCATTAGCCCTCTACTCTGCTACCCAATTGCCTGCACAGCCAGAAGACATACTTGAACATCTTGTCCTCGTCAATGACCTGGATGCCATGTTCGTAGGCACCTTTGTCGGCATTCTCGCCCACACCGGCAAAGTGGGAGTTCATCATGAGAGACGGCGATGTGTGGTGTTTGACGTTGCTCGGACGGCTCTGGCCGTTGGGCTTGAGGGATTCGTCGGCCATGATTTCTGCGTGTACAGTCCAGCCGAGAGCTGCACGTGGTGCGGGAAGAATATGGCGTTGTTAGGGGTGAAAGCTGGCCGTTGATGTCACAGGCCGACCGCTTCTCGAGTGCCTCGCCGCCATTCGTCGCTGCACCCTGGCCCGCATCCTCGCTTAAGCCCAGGTGGTGGTTACTGCCGTACAGATGACGATCTGGCTGCATCATTCACCCTGCTTGTATACCGGCTTCTGAGACATTCCTGCTCAGAATTCCCGCGTGCTGTTGCCCCGTGAAGCGCCATCAGAACCCTGGTTGTGTGCGGTAGTGGGCATGCACGTTGCCATCGAGGGCAGGACCAAACCATCCTTTCTTGGCACCCGTCTCGCCGGTACTATCACTGGATCGCTTGACATGAGGTTCCTGAAGATAAACGTGTCCTTAGATAGCTACCGACAAGCTACCGAAATCTGGGAGATCGCCGTATCGATCGCTCTAGACGTCCTTGCTCATCGCAAAGCTCCAGCAGCAGCAGGAGAGAAATTACATCTACCCCACCATACATGCCACTCTATCACCATGCTACCAACACTATCCACGCTTTCAGAACTTCCTATGTCCCTTTCCGCCACTCACCATGTCTCCGCTAATCTTGCTAATCTCCTCGCTATTCTTAACCCATGCCTTTGTCGCATCATCAAACACTCCGTCTCCAAATTTATTCTTGCACCACTCCAGCACCTTCTCCGCCTCGGCCCTTATCCTGTTCTCGATACCATCCTCATCATTTGCCCTGTCAATTTTCTTCTTGCTTCGATACTCTTCAACGGCGTCAATCAGACTCTTAGGCTCCTGGTCGCCGTAGACGAACTCGATGAGCGAAGCAGAGATGGAAGAGTTGCTGCCAACTTGCTTCGCGACTTCAGCATCCAGCTTCTGACCTTCTTCTTTGTGCTTGGGCTGGTAACCTTCACATGCGTCTGCCACGTCGCCCACCCATGCTCTTGCATTGTCAAAGTCGCCTTCCGCACGGTGCAAGATACCATGGAGCAACATTCCTTCCACAGCTGGCGGTGCCTGCATGTGCCGCACTAGGAAGTGTGCAGAGGGCAAATCGTGGTTCAGGATATGCAACAGTGTCTCGATAGTAGGATGGACGTGTAAGTCTGCGATGGTCGCTGTAAGTTGTGCATCTTGAGGTTTTTTGGGTGGATGAACAAGATTAGTGTTCGGTATGAGCGTCTGCGATATTGACTCCAGCGTTCGTGGTATATCCGATTGGCTCATATCTGTGTTGCTCGAACCGGGTAGAGCCGACTGCTTGACTCTAACCAGGGTACAAGGGTGAAAGTGAGGTTGAAGTAGTAGTAGTACTCGTAATCTCAGTAAAAGTAGAATCCCGGTAAGCAGTTACTTTTCACATGAAACGAGGAGTCCTACAGCATGTATGCACCTATTAGCTTCATCACGAAAGCATGTGACGTGCTTGATGCACCAACCCAGGAACGCAGACGTCATGATGGACCCTGAGAATTGATCGTGTGCAGGCTGTAGGGCTGGGCAAAACAAAATTCATAACACGCAAAAGTTACACAGAATTGCGCAAGTGTGATGAAACACCCCTCAGGCACAGTAACATGGCATGAAAACTGATTTCCATAGGTACGATAAAATGCGCTCATATCTGCATACAACGCGGACGCCGCTTCGCAATCCAGCCACCAGGACATGCCCTAATCATACAGACGTAATAGGTACAAGGAGAAGGGCCGCAGATTGATTTTTATCCAAACGCCAATAATGATGATGGAGCTCTTAAAAGACAAGGGATAGACCGAACCAGGGGCCGATCGGAAGAATGGAGGTATTCGAGGTCGTCGTGAGTCGGTGTGGGAAATGAGGTCAACCCATGCTTAAGCCTTGTTCTTCTTCTTCTGGTCTTCTTCTTTCTCGGCCTTCTCCTCCTTCTTGTCAGCAGCATGCTGATGCTGTTTCGCCTGGTGCTCTTTGCCTGCTGCAGCAGCCTTGCGCTCCTTCTCGCGTTGCTCTTCGGCCTCTACCATCTCTGCATTATTGAATTAGCTCGCTGTTTCCAATATACAATCCAATGAACGTGCACATACCTCTCCACTGGTCCTCGCCAGCGTATCTCTCGTGATGGATCTTCTTCTCAATAACATGCTTGTGTTCGGGATCATTCGGGTCAATAACCCTGATTGTCTCCCACCTTCCCTTGCCCTTCGCTGCATCCGCACCCTCAATCGCAAAGCTGCCTAGCAGCGCCGCCAGTGTGCCACCCTGTGCGTACATACGCGCCTGCACTAGCTTTTGTGATCCGCTCAGGTATGGGTTGCGGTTGACCATGTGCCATGAGCCAGCCATGGAGGCAATCCAGAAACCGAAGAGAAGTGGGTATCGGTTTTCGGTCGCCCAGTCTTTCGCACGCTCGAAAGCGGTTCTGTTCTGTTCGTAGAGGGCTTCGCGCTCCCTCTCGCGTTCAACTTGGCGCTTCTTTTCGGGTGTGTGTTCGATATCGTACGCTGCGGAGGCTCGATCGGCGGCAATGACAGCTGTGGGGTAGCATTGTTAGGATACGAGTTCTGGAGTCTTACAGTGTGGCGTGCGGGAACTCACCAACGAATGTTCCTGTTGAAGCGACCAAGAAAGCTCGGAACGGGACGGTGAGCGCTCTGAAGGAGTGGTATCTTCTACTCGCAGCCATGACACCAGCAGCGCCTACCGCCGTACCAATGATACCACCGATTGATCCGCCCTTGACTGTGGCACTTCAACTTGTCAGTACGACTTCCACAATTGCCGTTCATGCGTGAATCTTACTTGTAATGCGCCTCCTCCTCTTCCTTGGTAAGAACCTTCATTTTGTCTTAAGTGGAAATTGCTTTGACTTGGGGTGCAAGTGTGTTGGTTTGTCGTGAGAGTTTAGCGGCTGTTGAAAACTTGACGTTTGGTTACACCAGGTGTTGGGGAACTTGGATGAGTACGTGTACGGAGTCTGGAATTACATATAAAATATGACGGCGCATGCGGCGACTTAATAAAAGATAACGCAACGCTCAAAACTACACCATGGTGACGTCGCCGAACTTCCGGCGCCGCTAGACCCACGTTGACATGTGCGGGTTATGATGATGAGGTAAGTGCCTTCGGCAGGCCCTGCCTAGCCCTACATCCTCCAGGCTGGGCCGATTATCGTGCGCGCTGAGATCAGGTCACCGATGCATGATCGATTGAGCAAACCTTCTTTAGCGATTTAATCTGCTCTTGCTTCATCGCTCGCGTATTGGTACTGGATGAAGAATATTTGCCCCGTTACGGGATGCGTTTCCAGCGTCATGCGACCAATCATCACATGCTTCCATGTTCTTCCTCCAAGTATCTCCGAAAATGCATCATCCTACGCGTTACTTACTCACCCTTGACTCCAATATGCAAGTAGCCGCTAAGTAAGACTCTGTAAGCTTGTGAGCAATGCATCCCTGGTTTGCTCCTTGTCGGCAAGATGTCGCACGTCGCATGCTGTTCGGATTTTGCGCCGAAGCGGCATCTCCTCAGTTGCCGCTCGCCGCTCGCCGCTCGCACTGCTCACACCTTGCAGAGCTGCGGCCAACCTTCCTTCTCCTCAACACATGTTCGTCCGGCCTTTCCAGAACGTGGTACCTGATGCAAGGGCTCATAGTTCTTTGCAAAGCTCGAAATTTGTTCTACCGACACGTGCAAAACACCTTTCCGACCGTGTCCGAGTTGCCACCGAAACCCGCATGAACTCCACGATTCACCGAGCGGCTCCGCACATTGACCTTGACAACAAAATGAGTGGCAACTCCTGTTTTGAATGTTCATGTATCAGTTTCCGACAGCACGGTAATGCTAGTGACCCTTCCTGAGGCATCACAGTCAACATTAGAGGTGAGGTCTATTAAGCTTTCATTCCATCGAAGAGTGCATACATCAGATGGTAGCATTACCGTAACTGTATTACCGTTGAATCAGCCTGCTTCGGAAAGATGGATAAGTATGTAGGTACAATTCAGTTGACTGTTCACCATATCGTCTTCTCCAGCCTGTCCCACGCTAACGCTACCAAGTATTTCAGGCCCGATGAAAATGCTAGGATAAACAAGAAAGGATCTGTCGTAATAAGGTGTGCAGGAATCGATGTTATCCCAGCCAACTGTAGGAAATGCGTATTTTCGTCTTAAGCCAATGGTTTTCGACAATTTTTTCGACATTGATCTTAGCTTTTGGGCATATCCACGATACCTTTTACGAGATCGAGCGAGCGGTGCACTGGCTGATAATACCCAACGATACGCATGTGGACGAAGGCATGTGAATTGGAAAACATGCCTTCAACGGAAAGCGCCAAAACTGGGGCGCGGTGCGGGGTTGCTATAGCGGGGAAGCATACCTGCTGGAGGTCCTGGGCGCGTCGCAAGAGCAGGGTTACAGCAGAGCATGGCTACGCGAGATCCGTACTTAGAGCCGCGAAGAGAGACCATGTGCTTGCGAATGTGACCACCAACGAGTTCGCGATGTTGTGTGCCACTGTTTGTCAAGACATACTGTATGAGATAGTTGCCGAACTGATCACCAGCGACTTCGAAGAGTTAGCAACCATTCACACCGAGAGAGTAACCTGGAACCTACTGTCGATAAGGGGCATACGCGGACGATCAGGGCGAGCCTCGCATATGCGGTCCAGATACCGATCCAGGAATTCATTACCACCAATCTTGAGGCATTTCTCAATGACTTTGGAAGCGTACTGATCCATGCTATACTCTGTACTGAAACGGAGAATATGATCGATGGCACGACTACGGTCAGCAGGCGCGCCATGCTCACAGATATGCTGGATGCACCAGTTGCCAAATTGACCATGAGCGATGACATCGATACTTGCGAGCACTTCGTTGATGCAGGGACGCTATTTCGATTTAGTACTGATGGTAATACATGCTTAGTATCTCAACATACCTTGTCTTCCTCAAGACAGTTCTCGAAGATGTTCTGTACGACCAGACTACCTGTCTCACCCAATGCGACTTCATGCCACATGCCGCGCAGAGCCTCGTTGACATAACGCATGATCTGGGGTGGGGAGTCGCTCCAACGGAGTTCAAAGAGCTTCTGCCAGACATGGCATGCGTATCGGTGAATGACAGTCTCTGGAATGCGGCGAAGTAGCTCATGGACCATGGTTGCCTTGTACTCTTCCGGAACACAGTCGAAGGCCTTCTGGATGACATGGCAGCCGAACGCGTCCATGCTCAAAGCAAGAGTATTTCCGCGGATGGCTTGGGCGATAGCAATAACTTGCTCGTGCGTACCATGCTCAAAGCAGCGCTGTACCAGGAAGTTGCCGAAACGGTTAACCATTAGAGCGTAGGCTTGGGAGATGATGGCCTCCACGATCTCATATTTTTGCTCCGGTGTGCCTACTTTGAGCTTTTGTTGAAGGAAGATAGATGCTTGCTGGTCGTTGTTGCAGATGATCTTATCGACAATGTATTTCCAGTTGCAGCTCATATTGCGGTCCAATAGGCGACGATAATTCATCGGTTCAACTGAGGGGACGTACTGTGAAGTACCTGCCTCACTTTGGGTCTACGCCATATCAGTAAATACCAAGGTTCGATATGTCGTAGTGATGACTGACCTGGGAGTTCCATGGTGATGGCCCCATGCTGTTCTGGACGTTGAACTCATTTGCGTCAGGCGATAATCTGCTGGCCATGGTGCCAATCGGAGCTGGATGGCCTGTGGGATACATGGGTGGCATAGCGTACTGGTTGTAGCCTGAATCGAAGGCTGAACTAGGTCGGCTAGGTGGGTTACTCAATCCGTTGCCCATGCCAACACCCATACTGTTGTTGAAGCTATTGCCGATGCCGATGGAATTCGGCATGCCGTTACCCATGCCAGCATTGAAGCTGGTGGACATACCATTGCTGCGGAAGCTCTGGTCGAGAGGGAAGTGTGTAGGTTCATTCAAGAAACCGTTGCGACGATAGCCTGACTGTGGGGGTTGTGGTCGGGGCTGGACCTGAGGTTGCGTCTGGGCCTGATATGGGGGTCCGAAGCTATTACTGTCGGTGTAGGCCGGACGAGCAGCTTCATTGCCCCAGCCGTAGTTGCTCCTGGTAGAGGCATTAAACTTGTTCTGCAAACTCGTGAGAGTCTGCTCAGTGACATCGCCCGGGTAGCTGTAATCAGCCTCAGACGATTGGCTCAGGTGCTCCATGGTTGACCGGGCTACATGGTGACTGTGTATCTCCTGGTTGACGCGGTTGACTTCGTTGCGAGCCTCCTGTAATTCCAGCTTCAGCTTCTGCAATTCGCTGGCCTCGACGAGGACAATGGAGCTGTCCATCTCGGTAGGTGGGGTAGATGTGAACTCGTCCGTCGCCGGCGTAATGGGAATGGATCCACTGGACGAGCTGTATGGGTCTTGCGGAGGAGAGCGACCGTTCAGCCGCTGTAGGAGCGAGTCCATGACAGCCGACTCTTCGTGAGCTTCCATCTTGGGCTTCTGTATAGGTCAGTTTGGGCGCTATAGAAGATGGTGACGGTGAGCCTATAATAGACGCTAGTTTGACTGACCTTATAGCCGTCGAACGAGCTGTGCTGTTGCAGCGGAATTTGGTTGCCCAGGGTAGAAGGACCGAGTGGTCGCTTCATGCCCTGTGTATTGCATGTCAACGGTGAGCCAAAAGCACGCTGGAAGGCAAATGGGTATTGGTTCAGGCTCATGCTGCCTACCGCCTGGCCCAGTACCTCTGGCGAAGTGTCAATCCTAAGGTCTCCGGCCATGGCGAATCGATTGGGGCCCTTGCGGGGTGTAGGAGAACCGTCGGAAGTTATGTTGAAGCTCATGGTAGTAGAGCTTGGAAGTGTGGGTAGATGGTTTGGATCCGGGAGGCAGCAGTTATCTCCAAGCTATATGGTGAAGACTGCAGTTCCGAAGGCGGTTTGAAACAAATCTGGGGTTATTGGGCAAATGTGCAGATAATATGCAGGACGAAGGCTCAGCGCAGCTCGTTTGGCGACGTATATAGCCAAAGTAGATGCAGAAGCGACGAGAGAACAGCTCAAATGCACATAAATCAGAAGATCGCAGAAGGTGTCGTCGTGAGGAAAGAACGACAGCAGAGTAGAAGGAAGAGACTGAAGCGAAGTCAAGAGGAGTCGGAGTAGTGGGGTGACAGCAATGGAAACTTCTCAGCAGACTAGGTGAGCGCAACTAGAGGGAGGCGCGTCGCGTCGGGACGTTCCGCATTCGTCTTCACCAGCAAACGGAAAGAGCATCGTGCCCGAAAAGACTGATTCCGCACAGAATACGAAAGGTTCGACTGTCGGGACTGAATCAGATCTACCTACTTCCTGAGACATTGCGCTCACCGTAGCCCTAGAGTACAGAATATGCACCTCACAAGCCCAACGAGAGATGTTGAGCCTTTGCTACCCGCAACCAGATACTGCCTCTTTAGGCTTGGATCCCTGTATCGCTCATTCGCTTTCTATGATACTACTTGGAGTGACCTCCCAGTCAGAGTCAAAGAAGCCCATGGCTAACACGCCCTCGATACCTTTCCACTTTGCGCTTTCACCGAAGACCACAAAATCAGGCTGTCCGACACCCGTCAGCATCGGGACAATCCGAGACGCTTGTCGTAACCCCTCATCATCCGCACCCCAAACGACAAGCTCAAGACGCTCGCCTGCAAGTGGTCGCAAGAATGCAGCAGCTCTAGCTTCCTGGCCGTATCGATGTGCCTGTCCCCGGTAACCCCGTATGGTGATCCCGGACTTTCCGACGTGGATTGGGAAATCCGTCTGACTAGCCTCGAGACTGGAGCCGGTTGCTAAAGTGATGATGTTGCCAGTGAGGTTCGGAGAAGGAGGATCTAATGCGGAGGAAAGAATGTAAGTGTTTGCTTGGAAATACTGGTGTAAATTGCGTGAAACCTGCAACGCAAGGCGAGATGAATTAGCAGAGCCTGGGTGCTGGATGACGAATGGCCCGTGGGTACGAAGGATAGCGGTCATAGAGCCCAGCTGTCGACCAGTCCTCTCAGGTCGCGTGGAGTCTGTAGTACGTGTGCCGATGGTCCAGCCATCATCTGACTTGTAAACACTGATGGGAGAGACAGTCGCCGCTATTGTCTCAGCTAGACTCAAGTCCTTCCCATCGATTGTGACCGACTCCCTCCAGATAGTGGGATTAAACTCAAGACTTCGGACATTGGACGTCTTGATAACGTGCCCTCGAACACCAACCTTGCCATAGCGTCCTGGATCCTCTAACTGTTTTACCTGAATCCCATTCTTACTACCCATGTCTCCAGGATCGCCGATCAAGATGAGGAAATGCTCCATCTTCCGCGGCAGAGTATCGTCGTTCTTTGTCTGGGTATAATAGAAGTCTACTAACTCGGGTGTTGTCATGACACCATCCCACCAGTGATTTTGTCCTGCCACTTCGTTGTATCTGGCTTTGGCTCCAGTGACACCAGGGCTAACTCCAGTGCGGAATAACTGTTCTGCCAGTAGGCGGGAATTATATGCTGGAACATTGTCGTCAATTTCACCATGCTGTTGTTGAACGGGTATGCCATGCGCGTTGGGCATAAGCATCTCATGACGATAGCTGTTGATGGATGCACTGACGACCGCTGTGCGACCAGGATCTGCAGCTTGCCACAGGTGATATGGCACGTACATCTGGATACTGGCGTAACCGGAGACTGGTGCTGCAGCGAGCACTTTGTCAGGTCTATGAGTAAGGGCAAACCAAGTACCCTGTCCGCCATTGGAATGTCCTGAGACTATCCAACGGTTCGTATCAACATCGTAGCCTGTCCAGCGATTGTTGTCGATCCAGTCTGGAATTGCCGCAATTGCCGCTTCAACGTCGGCGAAACCCCAGTTGTGCCAGTCGTCACCGGACCACGGTGTGACACCAGTAGGAAACAGTACCCAAGCACAGAGGTCAGAAACCGGATCCAGGGCGCCAGTAACCATAGGGTTGTCAGCCTCGAGGCCTGCTCCGTGGAGTTGCAGCAATACGGGTAGTTTTAATTGTCCTGATGGGCATGTTGCATTTTTTGCTGGGGGTCGAAGCATGGCGTACGAAGCCATGCCACCAGGGTGGAGGAATGTGACCTTGTGGGGTCTGTAAAGACCGATATGGTTCAGAGTTTGGGACGCACGCAGGATGTTTTGGCGCGTACCACCAACTGTCTTATATGTAATATCGTAATCCACAGATGAAGTGTTGCTACCATGGAGAGTGATATTGAAGGCGATGGATTTCGTTTGACCAGGAACAATAATGTTGGACATATGCGAGTCACGCGACGTGTTAGGATTTCCCTGGTCAGCAATATCAGTATCTTTGCGTAACAATGACTGCGCGCCCATTGCCAACTCCGCGAAAGAGACATAAAGGCTCACACTTGAGTGCTGAATGCTCAGGATTTCAATTTCCTCTTCCCCGGTATTTCTCAAGTACACTGATCCAATTGACGAGGCAGGCTTTCCGTCGACGACATCGGACACTAGAATACCAGGTTTTGCAAGCTCCAAAGATCCTATGGCCTTTTGCACGTCAACAACAACATCAATGGTAGGCTCCAGAATACCACCAAAAGCTCTCACGTCGCGAGCTAGACGAATGTCAATTCTGTGCGAGCCAGGTTGGAGATGCAGAACAGGAGGCGCCTTGCGATAAGTATAGAAATCTCCCCCAAAGTAGTGCTGGTCATCCACCCAGAATTCCAGAATAGTATCTGTGTGTAAGACTAGGTGTTGAGTCTCGTTGCCGCCGACGTGAAGTTCGCCACGAGCCCAGGCCTGATATTGCACGGCAGCCCATCCATATACGACCTTCAGGAAGTCCCAGTCAACGTTTGAATAGGCCACACTCAAGGAGGCGTTGGCCGACGTAGCATCGCTCATGGTCCTCACGGCTTGGGTGACATTCCACGATGCGGTTCCGTTAGTGGGCAATGAGCTTCGGAATGTTGCTTTGGGGTCATATTGGAGGTTTCTGAAGCCGCCATAGTACTCGAGTGGATCTGCGCCCCATGTCGCCTCTACAAAATGTCGGTATATCGTCTCCAGGCTACGTGGGCGATGACGTACCTCGAGTTCCCATCTGAAAAGGCCCCAGGACGTGCCATGTATCGCTGAAGGAAAACAAGGAGACACTCTCCTGTCGGCTTGCTAGTGGGGTCACGAGCGGCTCATGTTCCGTAGCACGACCCAATTGCAGCAGGAACAGGAAAGTACAGAGTAGGTGCGGCAGCGACGGCCGGCTCATCGGAACGAACATGTTCTGGTGTATACAGAGGCTCGATACATGACGAGAGGGAGAGATGGCGCTTTTGAAAAGCAACGTTATCGCGGCAGAAGATCTCTACCGGACATAGCAGGTGGTGAAGGGTTCATGGACAGAGCTTGGCTGACGATGGCCGGTGGTTTGGAATCCCTGTCGCCTCCTGCCCTAGCTATCAGATCCGAACCGCCTCCGGAACGCGTATGTCACTAACCAGACAATTCTCCGCTAATTACGGATCCATTGCGACGCTTGCCTTCAACACCACGCTTCTTGGAATAATCCTTCGCGACGATCCACGGTACCCCTCCATCGCTACCGCTGCTTGTGCCACCATTGTGCTCGTATATGTAGCAGGAGTGCGCCACGGTTCCGCGCATATAGTACAAGTCGCCTGCAGCATCGGTTCCCTCCCCATGGCGTAGCGAATACATCTACGACACCCCCAACCACCTTGCATCCCGCAGTCGTCATGACGCCTCCGTTGGCGCGGGACCCGAGTCCCAACGCTACCTTCAAGTTTCCCGCTTTCCAGCCCGATCTACTGCCCACGCCCGAGGAAGACCACATATACGGTCACACGTCGTCGCGCTCTGCCAGTCCTAGCCATGCAGCGCAGACGAATGGCAGTACGATACCAGGCGACAGGTGGCATCCGCGCAAAGAGGCTAGGTTCGGGGGCATCAACGGCTCAGCGTCGACCTCTTCAAACAGACATGGACGACAGAAGAGCCTGTCAGAAGCCTTCAGGACTATACGGACGCGAAAGGGCAGTGTCAGCCAGAATGCGCATGAACTTGCAGACGCGCTCAAGGCCCCACTATCGCCAAAGCTCATTGTAGGTCGCGATACGCATGGTTTGCTATGGCCTATGGCTAACAGGCGCAGGTGCTCTGCGGTGTGTGGTACATGACCTCCATCTTCACCAACATGTCTTCCAAGGCCATCCTGACCGCCCTACCGAAGCCCATTACCCTCACGACCGTCCAATTCGCTTTCGTATCCGGTTGGTGCTTGATACTCGCCATGTTCGCTAGGAAATACCCACGCCTAAAACAGACGATGCCTTTCCTGAAGTACGGCATTCGTACCCCATCCAAGGAGCTGATCATGGCGACGCTGCCCTTGACATGCTTCCAGATCGGCGGACACATTCTGAGCGCCGATGCTACGTCAAGGATACCTGTTTCGTTGGTACACACTATCAAGGGACTTTCGCCGCTCCTGACGGTCATGGCATACAGCATCTTCTTCAAGATCCAGTACTCGCTACCCACATACCTTTCTCTCATCCCACTCACCCTAGGAGTCATACTGGCATGCTCGGCCGATTTCAATGCAAATCTGATCGGCCTGATGTCCGCCTTTGCCAGCGCCATCCTCTTCGTCGTTCAGAACATCGTCTCCAAACAAATCTTCAACGACGCCGCAGCTGCTGAGAAAGACGGCCTGCCGCCGAACAAGTTCACCAAACCAGATAAACTAAACCTCCTCTGTTATTCCTCTGGCCTAGCCTTTCTCTTTACTCTTCCACTTTGGCTTTGGTCCGAAGGGTTTACTCTTATCTTTGACTTTCTGCATGACGCTTCTATCGAGCTATCAGACCACCCTGAAGCTTTAGATCACGGGCGTCTGCTACTCGAGTTTCTTTTCAACGGCACTTTCCATTTTGGACAGAACATTGTAGCCTTTGTTTTGCTATCTATGGTGTCACCAGTTACTTACTCGGTTGCCAGCTTAATCAAGCGCGTCTTTGTCATTGTGTTCGCTGTTGTCTGGTTCGGCAAACCCATGACAAAAGTCCAAGCGTTTGGTTTTGTGCTCACATTCGTGGGTCTATATCTCTACGACCGCACGCACGACGCCGCGAAAGCAGATAAACGCGCAAAGGCCCTGCAGTCCAAGAACAGCGGTTCCCTACTCCCATTGGCCACAGATGTCAAGTCACGACCAGTCTACACTGCCAGTCCATCATCCATACCGGATACTGGAGCGTATCCAATGCCCGGTTTTCACGAATCAAGAGAAGAGAAAAGACATGATGATTCTGGTAGTTCGGGCTATCGTAGGACGTCTGAACAGGGCTCGCATTACCTGCCCCCAGGGACCAAAGCGGAGGATACTTGGCGGCCTAACGACATGAATGGAAGAAGGGGTATAGGCGTTTCATGAGCATTTACGAATCTATTTGTTACATTCTGATGAATCTCTCCTTCCGTACCAAGTGTTACAAGCAAGCATCCTGACCAGCGAGTCAGAAGGAATCCTGACTATACTGATGAAGATGCACAAAGGACCGAATTACATGCCGAACATCAAGAATCTTCGATTCGCCGAGATGACCGATCAAAACTAGGAGCCGTCGATCTACTTCGTCATATGTGATACAACGGCCGCTCCAGGACTTTGCTGACGCGTCAGCCATTTGCAACATCCAGAGTCCGAAAAGCGATGAATAAAGCGAATACCAGGAGGCAAGTTGAACATGAGCTGACATTGCAATCACGCCGTACATACAGCCGCTATTCGCATTACCGCCTCCAGCCCCGAACCGAACAAAGGAGATACTCCTCGCAGCATGCAAAACCAAGCAGAGACCCTGACACCTGTAGAGACAAAGCAGACGTAAAGTGAGCGACTTCCTGGACGCCAAGTTTGGGCATTTGCATCATCTCGTCTTGTATCCCACGCGTTAAACGTGAAGCGTATTGTATCGTAGTCCTGCTCGCCATATCCGAGCTTTCCCCCCCTCGCTGCTTCGCCAAAACATGCATTGCAACCCGGCGCAAACAGATTGTAGGTGAAGAGTATTTGTAGATTTTCGTTATCGTCTAGCAGCATCCCTTCTTCTGCTCCGCGTCGGCCGACTTGCTGATCTCGAGCACCTTGCGGTCGTTGCCGAGGACGGGGCCGCTACCTTCGCCCTGGTCGAGCGCTTTGCTTGAGACGATGCGGTAGATTTCTGGAGCAGTGTTAGCAACGGCTCATGCTAACGATATTTGCGGCTGAAGTGTCAACAAAAGTGGCGGTGTAAACACATGTCCACTTGGGCCAACCAATGTCACTCCAAGCTTTGCGCCAACCACTGTTGTCGCTGCTACTTGTTGTTTATAGTAGAGTAACGTACCTGTGAGAATGTTCTGGAAGGCAAGCTCGACGTTGCTGGCGTCCAAGGCAGACGTCTCGATGAAGGAAAGGTTGTTCTCGCCTGCGGAGAGTGTCAGCATACATGTCGAAGGCTGTATCTATGCAGACGCCACTGTCACAGGATGAGTAAACGTACTTGCAAACTGCTTGGCCTCCTCTGTTGGCACTGCCCGCAGATGCCTCAAATCGCTCTTGTTACCCACGAGCATGATGACGATGTTGGAGTCAGCATGGTCGCGTAGCTCCTTCAGCCACCTCGTCACGTTCTCATATGTCTGGTGCTTGCTGATGTCGTAGACAAGCAGAGCGCCGACCGCGCCACGGTAGTATGCAGAGGTGATGGCACGGTATCGCTCCTGGCCGGCGGTATCCCAGATCTGGGCCTTGATGGTCTTGGCGTCAACTTGGATGGAGCGGGTAGCGAATTCGACGCCGATGGTCGACTTGGAATCGAGGTTGAACTCGTTGCGCGTGAACCGGCTCAATAGGTTGGATTTACCGACACCAGAGTCTCCGATGAGCACCACTGCGGGGGTTAGCGGGCGACGAGACCAGGAAGACTAAGGTAGGGGGAAAGTAGGTACCCTTGAAAAGAAACTATGTGCACTATCATCAGTATGCAAGAACACATAGGGCCGCTGTCGTACGGAGACTCACGTCATATTCGTCGTTCGCCATTGTTGCGGTAGGTGGGGAAGTGGCAGGTGGGGAGGTGGAAGTCTCAGTCGATGTGTCGGCGAGAGTCGTGAAAGCAGAGCCTGGATATCTTTGGGGTATCAAGGCAAGCAGAAAAGCTCAGAATCAGGTCGTCGTGGGTAGTGGCCAAGTACTGCGCTATCTCGCTGCCTCGAGGAGTCGCTGCTCCACCGTCAAAGCACCAGCCAGCACCCCAGGAGCGAACAAGCCTATGCCTTCTTAGGTAAGCGAGGCGCTAGTCTCCGCGCCCTCGCTCATTCCAACACCTCCATGTCTGCTTGCGTCGCCGCAAACATCTCGCCTTTGGACATGCACCTAGGTAGACACAGTTGCCCTCTAGTTTCTTGTTGCAACCCGAATGACAGCAGCGACCCGACGCGTAATCAGAGAAAGACCTCACGCGTTGTCTGCTACTGCCCTTAACCAATCAGAAGCTGGCATAGCCATTCACCTCTATAGCGTTCGCCAGAATGTCACTGCACCCTGATGAAGACGAGCTCGAGGAAGAATACGACGTAGAATGTATTCTGGCGGAGAAGTGGCAAGAAGCCTGGGATGTGCATCCGTTCGGCGCGGCTACAAAGTACTTGACCAAATGGGAAAATTATCCACTTGAGGAGTAGGTCTGCCTCGTGGTGTAGTTGAATCAAGCTAACCAGCCTTGAAGGTGTAAGTATTCTACCATTGCCCCTCACAACTCTATAGTCCCTCTGAAGAACAGGACCAAACCGTGCACCGTTCCGTTCCAGACAAGCATCCATCGCGTATCTCTGACGTGATTTAGGCACTTGGGAACCAGCAGTCAACTTCGAGAAGATTACGTCACTACCAGATGAGCCCACAACCACTACCGCGTTGGAACTATGGAACGAAAAGAAAGCGAGTATGAAAAAAGTTGATTTCAAGAAACTGTGCGAAGATAACATAGCAAAATATGAGGCAGCACTCAACGGCCAACAAGAGGTATCACTTCTGGAAGCTACTCTCGCAGAAAGAGAAGCTGCAGACTCCAGTCAACTCAATCACTTGTTTGCGGGAAGTTCTGCTACGGAAAACTCGGGGCTGTTTGTCAGACAGCCTCCTAAAGCGCGTAAGCCTCCTATAGTGCAGTCAGAATCCTCTTCTTCCGAAGGAGAGTTGACAGATGACTCATTGATGGCAGAGATGGCTACAACGTCGGAAAATACAAGGCATACGTCCATCGGCGTGGAGAGTTCTAATATAGAGCGCCGGCCAATCCAAAATTCAGCTCAATCACCCCGTACCTCATTGAAACGTGCTACGACTACTCCAAACCCGAATTCAGTCACGAAACCAAGTCTCGCAAGACCAGCAAAGGGCCAAGAGCCTCGAAGATCTTCACTGCCGCAAGCAGACTCAGGTTTCCGAGATAAGCAAACGACGACAGTTTCTACACAACGAAAAAAGAGTAACAACGGTAAACCTACGACCGCTGAAGCTGGTAGTGCCTCCGCTGCTCATGACACTCTGCAATCCAGTAGTACGAGCTCAGGCGCTGCAAAGCGATCAGTCTCTCTTGCGACGCAGCCAAGTGCCCTTAAGACCACAACTAGCTCAGGAAAGAGTAGTGGCATCAGAATCGTAAACGAGCCCAAGCCTCAACCTCGTCAAGCTACTGCCTTGCCAAAGAAAACTCATTTTCAGACACTCCGTCGACACCACGAGGTAGACATGAGGTCCCGTAGGGAGGGCACACCCGATGTTGCTGCTCTCAATTTCGTCAATGCCCCACCTGATCTCATCGCCCCAAAACTGCCGGCACCACACCATGATCCATACGCTCGTCGTGACCCTATTCATAGGCGTATCATTGCAGAAGAGCCCCAGAACGATGAGTCTCCAAGGCAAGAGTCTACTGATGGGAACATACCCTTAGCACCCTGGGAGATTGACAAAGTTCCCCAGGTGTGTTACCAATGGAGGCTTAGCCAAAACTGCACGAAAAGTGCGAGGGAATGCCGCTTTATGCATAGGCATAAGGATGAAAAGGGCCGCGAGTATTCTATAGCTGATATGCAAGGCAAGATACCCGGCAAATACCGCAAACCACCACTCACATGTCCGTTTTGGCTTAACGGGCAGAAAGGTTGCAGAAAATCCGCCGAGGATTGTCTCTTTGCTCACCAAAATACTGGATGGATAAAGCATAGCGATCCCTCAATGGGCGATGTACGAATTGATCCTGACCAGCAACCGAAGCTTGGTAGTATAGAAGACCAGCTGGAAGAGAAGAGGACTACGAGGTCTTTAAATCCGGATCAGCTTACTTGCTGGTACTGGAACAGAGGCGATTGTCGAAATACAGAACAGGAATGTGCTTACCAGCATAGAGAGACTGGCATTGTTGCAAATGCACCACATGAAGGCCATCAGACATCTGATACTATACCAGATGTGGATGACGATATGGATATCGATGATGCCGTCCAACCACCCACGACCAATGAAGCAACACGCACCCCTTCTCCCATACCATCTGGACAACCACAGCAGTTCTCGTTTCAGCCACCACCTCCGCCTCCGCCTCCACCCATCACAAATGAGGTCAAGATTAAATGCGAACAGTTGCGGACGGCCGGAGGATCAGTCTGCACATTGGACTTTGAGGATATGTTTGCGAGCAATGGCAGCGAGGAAGCTGTCAATCTGCTTGAGAGTAGGGTTTTTCTAATGTACCATCCCGAAGACCATTTTGAAGAGTTGGAGATCATTACTCGATGGTTATTATTGCACCATGTCCAGGTTGCTAGTACGAGCTATCAGGGTGCATGGGCTGTTTTCAAGCAGCAAATTTTGCAAGGAGGTTCAGGCATCATTATAGTGCGTAATCACACATTGCGAGTGAGACTAATGCTAAACATATCAGGCACATCCGGACGTTGAATACTTCACAGCATTTCCCGGTTTCGGCGAAGTTCTTCGTCAGAACGTCCGTCTCTGGTCGGTTGGGCTTCAACCAAGTCTCGACTACGACCATGCTTTGACAGATGGTCTTCCCGTGCTTCAATATGAGCGCATTGAAATTTTCCCACTTGGCGGATTCGTTTACATTACGGAGGAAGTCTTTGAGACGAAGCCACAACTTGCTTTGGAAATTGTCAAGCTTTTCTTCGCAAAGATAGTGAGTCTCAGAGGGCGCGCAGGCCCGTTGGCTCCATGGCAAGAAGTCGACGACGCCAGCTTGTTGTGGCGGCTGTGTGTCCGGCCAGAGTTGATGGAGTATCTATTTCAGAGATGCGAAGACCATGCAATGGATGTGAACGCTGGGGATGTTGACATGCAGAGGTTCGCCCACTACACTCGACCCAATTTGATTTATTGCTAAATTTGACGCAGTTGTGCCAAGCTCTACTCGCTCCTCGCCGAAACCAACTACATCGAGCAAGATGATCCGGTTGTTCCACTAAGCGCTGTAGCCGACAAATATCCCATACTCTCCGAGCGCCGGGCCATCGCCGAATGCGAGCCTGTGGATTACTTCAACACAGTCGCTCGTAGCAAAGAAGCCGCCAACCTAAACATGATCCGCTACTATGCTGGACTGCAAGTCGACATGCGTCGCGACTATCGCCATTTCTACGTCGTCCATACCGAGCCAAAGGCAAAGTATATCCAAGAATGGAAGCAAGAGATTCAGACCATTGCCGATGTCATCACACCCGAGCAATGCATCAATGAAATGCTAAAGGATGGGCAGGACAGCATGTTTGACTTTTACGAACGCTTCATGGCAGACAACGAGAGCTCCAAGGGAGTAGTCAAAGATGGTGATGCAACGACGCGTGTAGGCTAGAAGTCTAAACGTGTCAGTGAAAGTCTCCTGGCGGAGTTTGAGTAATGGGCAAAGTTATCAGAACCACTTTTGTAGAAGTCTTCCGGGTCGTACGAAGTCAAGTTGCGACTTGCTCTCTATAGGTACGACTTGATGACATTTTCGTTTCCTTCTTAGTGTATACGATACCCTGTGATAGCGTACTAGGAAAATGTTTAACGAGAATA